AATGATTCGTCTGTTCGAAATGATTGATTTTCTTCAGGAATTTCAAATAAAAATTATTTTTAAAAATACTATAATTTTCTAGATACTTCAATAAATTCAACAAATTCAATTTTTTTCGGAATTTTCCACGCGGTTAATCAATAATAAGAAATGAACAACGACGCAGTGCAACGTTTTTCTCCGAGGTAACCAGTCTAGGGTTGAAAAGAAATATCTTCAATCAAGTACGCACGAGAGAATTTCATAGAAAAACTACTTTTGAACTTCTTCTGAAAAATTTCTTCATTTTTTGCCAATCCTATTGAAAAATTCCACAACTTTTCCATCCGTTTTTTTTCTCATAGCAATGTTTGATAAAAAAAATTTTGTATAGACAAATCTATATAATTCGATTTTTCTGCAAAACTTGATCTACTGAGATTATTCTTATAGAAATTCCTCGGCTCATGTTCTCTATTTTTTTTTGCTTTAAACTTTCAATGAGAAAATAAAAAAGGCTGCAAAATGTAGAAAATTCATGCTGAAGAATTTCTACAAGAAATATCTCAATAGAATAAATTATATAGAAAGATGAAAATTTATTGATTTTTCCCTCGAAAACATTTTTTAATTTACATTTTCTTTAGGGATAGTCGGGATAGACTCGACGAAAAACTAATAAAATGTCCAATAGAAGTTCCACAGAATTGCCTAACAAATACGTTAGGATTTTCTATTAATTTTTTTCATGCATGAGTGATTATTACATATAAGAGTTGATGATTATATATAAGAGTTTTCATTAGAATTTGGTTAGAGGAAATTTCCAAATCTGTCGTTCGGTCAACATGAAACTGTAGATGTTAAATTATTCATCGATCCTACCTATGAATTTTGGATCTATTGATTAATTCAGCTACGTGATTATGGGTCAGGGTTACATACTCCAAGGTTCTCGCATCCTTCACTCTTGCCCCTCCCGAAGCACCCAAAATTCTCTGGATCCTCCATTCCTGACGCACTGACAAACGCATTCATCGTCCCTGACTTGTTCATCGTTCTCTCAATGTTCTTGTATGATTTATAGAGGTAATTAATCATCTCAAAATAGATCTTTTAATTTTGTCTTTAGTATCTGTTAATTTCTCCAGATTTTACAGACATTTATAAATAAACCGTCTATGATTCACAATTGTGAAACGCACGAAAAAATTTAATAAAAAAACCTAGCGATTTCGCTACACAGTTGTATTTAATTTTTATTGAACTTGCTATTGGTTTTCTAAAGTTCTAGGCGACTCTCCTGAAATATTCAATAGAAAATAGTTATAGAAAAAGTCACGAGAATTGGATTTTTCTATAGAACTTATTCTATTGAGATATTATTGAGGTATATTTTCTATAGAATTTCCTCGGTTCACATTTTATAATTTTTGTTTATTCTAATTTTTTTTTCTTTTCACCAAGAAAATCAAACAAGAAAACTTGAAAAATTTGAGCCGAAGAAATTTTATAGACAATATGTCAATACAATAAGTTGAAGAATTCTGGTAGATTTTTTATCCAATCTCCAGAGTTTTCAATCGATTGTCAATGGATACCTTTAAATTTTTTGCGAAATTAATAAAATTTTCGAGATAGCTTCCTCATCAGGTAGAAAAATGAGAGATACAAGACAGATCTCTATTGAAAGTTGACTGTCGCCCTCGAGGTCCGAGATTTATTTCAAACATTTATTTCAAAGTAAAATGCGAGTGAATGAAAGTTCCAAGTGATGAGCGATGTTAAGAGAAATTATCAAGATATTTTTTTCCCACGGATTTCTGTGAATTCTCAGGAACGATCTCTCAATTTCCTTCCCTAAAAGCAGTCATTTTTAATCTAATCACCTAATTAACAAAAATATAATTGTTTGCAATGATTTCAGAAATGGATGATGTGATGTGAGGGAAAATGATTCTTCTACTTTGGTAACCGATTGATAAATGTGGTAGATGACCTTGGGGACAGACATTGACTCAAAATTAAATTCTAATAAATCAAGTGATCTTTTTATGAAGAATTTTTTCAGCTATAAATGCCTCTTCCTTAGATGAGCATCCAGTTAATAATAATTTGACACCTTCCATCGCGCCAAAGAAATAGACTTCTAACAAGATGATTCTCAACTTTCCGATAAATATACAATCTTTTCGATAACGAGTGATCCCGGGAGAAAATATGAAACAAGCCTTTTTTTTTATATTCCGGCACTTTCTGCCCTCAAACAAGCGTTTTGATGAAAATTTTCTTTCAAAAACTAGTTTTTGCAACAAATCACTTCTGAAGGAATCCCCCCCCCCCAATTTTCAGAATAAAGAAATAACTCTTCCATAAAAAACAAGGGGGAAATTTCTCTGGCATTGCATATAGTATAGTTATTTATGCTAATAAATTGGCAATATGTTTATTGCTAATTTCGAATGGTTATTTTGCACATAATTTTCTTCTATCATGTGTAATTCATTGTTTATCTCATTTTATTCAATTAAATAACATTTCTCTTTAACGAATTTTGTCAGAATTTCAACTTAGTTGAATGTTATCATCATCATTATTCTTATTTTCCCTTTCTTCGGTACAACCGATTGTCCTTGTTACGATTCTATCTCTCCCTTCAGTCCTTCGATAAAATGTTAATAGAAAAATTTTATTTGTACGTACTTGAATGATTTTGAAAGATCATCATCATAAAAATCAAATCAATCAATATAGCTATCCTAATCATCGTGTAACTTCGATTTAACGGCATTAACAGAAATATTTTGAGCTATGATTGAATTCATTTGAAGCACGATATTCAAAGAAAACCCCGGATTTCTGATTTTCAAAAAATACAAAATTCTTGCGAATTTTCAAATAAATTAAAATAGCGATTATTGCTACCGCCTTCATCTTCGAACTCGATCAAAGGGACATGCAAACAGTTTTTTAAAGCTTTCATTCAATCAATTCAGAAGATTTTTTTAAAATTATCCTGAAAAAAACAATTTTTGAAAATTTAAAAAATTTAAAAAATTCAGAAATGAATTAAATTTTAATTAATGGCGATCGATTGGGCTCAACAATACCTACATTTGAAAAAAAAAATTCAAGTCCATCCATTCATTAGCGAACAATTGAGGAAAATCTATGTTACATACCTACACACATCCACATACACCTACGGGCGAGGTTTAGAAATTGCATTTTCGGACTTTTTGGATCAAAATGGGTCTATATAACATGAAAAATCCAAAACTTAAATTTGAACGATTACAAAGCTTCCACTTCGGAAGCAAACAAGAAATAACTTTTTTCCATCACCATCACCTAACTGGCTTCTTACTTCTATAACATATTAGAAAAAAATCATCACGTAATAATTACGTCAACCTCAAGGACGAAAGTACACCGAGACCTCGGCGATCAGCCATTCTTGGTCGTGCAACTTCCGTGCATGTAATCCCAATAGAATAAGGGATGGGCCACTATGTGCCAAAACTTTTGAACGATTGACGAAGCCCCTGAGACGTTAGAAGAAGAGGTGAAGAAGAAAGAGAGAATGCTAAGAAGGAAGGAGTGTACATGGCGCCCACCGGCATGTCGACCGATAAAAAACGAGCAGGTTGAAGAAAACTTCGGTATAATAAAAATCGATTGGCCCAAAGTCGACAACGAAATACCCCAACACCACAAAAACCCAGAGATTCATCATCGAGCAGCTCTAAATTCTTCAGCGCTAAACTCATGCATTATTTTGTCTACAGAGAGAAAAAAGCCGCAAACAATCATAACAATGCACCCATAAATGGATCATAAAACAAGTTGTGAGGCTTTAGCATATCCTTATGATTACACCCAGCCCCGATAATGATAACAATAACCCGCCAGACCGCAGAGAGGGTTGTAGAAAGTGCAGCCAAGAAGGTAGCGAGGGGTAAGAAAGATGGCAAAAGATTTATCCATCTCTCTTACACCGTTTATCCATCTCTCTTGTCTCTCTGAGTTTCTGTGTGAATGCGCGAAGAGCGATGTAGGTTGGTGTGTGCCGAGGGTGAGGTCGAGTTGACGGTGAGAAGAGAAGAGAAACGAGACTGGGAGAGACAGAGGGATCCACTGAAGTGTCATAAAATGGCGTAGACGAGCGCGAGGAAAAGAGACAGACAGAGCGATGGAGTTGGTGTAGAAGGATGGTGAGACCCTTTCGGGGGGCTTGCGTACGAGATTCGGAAATGGTCTTACGAGAAAAGAAGGTGGGTGGGGTTGTGCCTGCCAGCGCCACCGAGAAAGTCGCGTAAGGCTCTCGGCGTTTTGATGGTAAAAGGATATAACGTCGAAATATACCTTCGAATTATTTACCGAATATCTCCGAGAATGACGGCATTTTGAGTGAAATGTCAAGAGACCTTATGCCTCGGAAAATAAATCCTCTACAAGGAAGGTCTTGTGACATTTCCCTCTGAACCGACCAATTCCCTCAAATATTCGTAAAATAATATGCACAAAATTTTTCAACTTACCTCCTCCTACAAATCCGCTACAGATATACTCCTGTGTACTCCCCCCCTCTACCTCAGTGCTTTAAATCAATGATGGTGAGCTTGCGCACTGGGAAACTATGCGCAACGGTTGTGCACGGGTTTGGTCCTGGTCAAGCCCCTCTCGCAACCTTTTCCCCCCATTCGTCTTGGCACTCACCAGAGTGCCTCGAGGGTTGCGCTATACCCAAAAGCTCAACGTAATGGCTGATAGGTGTAGTAGTGTCAGACTCACCCCCCTCTCGCGCCTTCAACCCTCACCACCCAACACTGGGGAAACTAATACATGTACCGTCCCTCCTGGATAAAGCTCCGTACGGAGCCCATAGTCGTTCTCTTTTCGTTGTATATCTATCTCCGTTTCGCTCGTACAATACCACCTCCCTCACTCCCCCCGAAAACCTCGAGCGCTTGTAGTCGTAGTAAGAGTTAATGCGCGCGCGCATTCTGAAGGCTTGATGGTCGGGTGAAGAAGATGCTTATATTTTTGCGCCTCGTTATGTGATTCTCATTCGACATTTGAAGTAAATAAATTACCCAAGGATCGAGCTAAATGTCTGCTGATTGTATTTCGTCAATCTGAAGTATTAAAAGTGAACTTTAATCAAGGGGATGAGTGTTTAAAGGTGAAGAGTGACCACCGCACGGGTGTTTTGACTATGAGGAAGGACTGGAGAGAGTGAGTGACATCCTAGAAATGATTAAAATCGCAGAAAGAAGGAACAAATTCAATTGAATTAATTAAATCTAGAAATTTCAAATTAATTGAGGATGAGGGAGAATTATAGTCAATGTGGAATGAAAAAATAGTGAGCATTTGGGGAGACGGTGCATATTGACTGACGGCAACGTGGGAGGGGCAACGCGTACACCCGGAGGAGCTTTTCGTTGGGGTATTGGGGCGAAGAGGGGCACTGAAACGAGAAACGAGTGTACGTGTGAACGCAGAGGGAAAAAGAAGTGTCAATTTTAAATCCCTCATTGTTTGATACTTCATGGTGATGACTTTGAAATGTATTTGTTAAATTATTTTTGACAATTAGTTGTAGGTAATAACGGGTAACAGACAGTTGAAAGCTTGGTTTTGAAATCGTAAGCGGCCTATATGGATTTTTGCATGTCTGCATACCGGCGAAAAAATAGTCTGTCAATACTTGAGATACATGAATGGTCACGGTAACGTTGGTCTGTGGGGAATGAGTGATGATGGAGTAACAATCAAATGTCATAATTTAATAGACAATGAATAATAAATTGTAATAATCAGGGAGATTTCAATTGTACCGGTGGGGCTAATGTGGCCTAATATGGGTATAGGGTTATTGACGATACTATTCGGCAATAAATAAAGTTATGTCTAGATTGTTTAATTGAGAATATTGGACAATTGTGAGATATTTGAAACGTAGACTTAGATAACGTGTTGAAGAGAATAAAAGAGACGCGATGCGTCAGTTGGCAAAGTGGACGTTATGCCTTGGCATATTTTTTTTTATCACCATTCGAATCAGTCGTCAACAGGAGGAGGACATACCGCACAATGAGTAAGTTTGGCTTTTGTTTAAAACTTTAGTAATGGGACGACAACTCGGTCGTTTTGTTCGATCGTACGGAGGGGTTCTTTTGACCAATGATGTAATAGCTATTTATAAGAAGCATGGAGGGACAGTTGAAATTTGTGGAGATGCAGATTTTTTGTTTATCTTCGACTGAACTTTGAATCTTGGTTTTATTGCCTAGAGATGTGAAGATTATTCTGAATATATTTATAGTGATTGGACGGGTTTGGGAAATTTTGTAAGAGATTTTTTATTGATTTCGAAATTTTTATTGAGGAGGGTCTTCTGATAAACTTGTAAATCTATCTCTTTCAAAGCTATTTGTAAAACCATATGGATTATTTTTAATTTATCTTGATTGAAAACTTTTGAGATGCATTATTCAATGTGTTTTCAATGGGGATGTTGATAGAGGGGATGATTGAAGATGCAAAAAAAGTAAAGCAGGAAATTCAACAACCTGATGCTCACATTGTTTGCAGGGTGAGAAATTGGGCGCTCAAGTTTGGAGTGGATTTGTGGGAGTTTGGAAAACAGGCGACGAAACTAGCGGAGATTCAGCGAGTAAGTTTCATAGTGGAGTATTTCCGATAGGAGAGGGAGTTGTGGTGGAGGATATCCACTTGTCATTTTTATTTTCAGAAATATCATAATGATGGGGAAACTACTGTAAACAAGAAGGATGGACTTGTGTTGGTGAGGGAAATGGCTGCTGAGGTGAAGAATATGTTGGACTTCAAGATGAACGCAGTTATGGTACATTAGATTTTTCTACTCCTACTTGCATTTCTGCGCTGGGCGCGGAGTAGATCTAGTAGAGATGTGGTCAGACGCTTGGGAACGACCGAAGTATTTAATATTTTGATTATAAGTGGGGCTTTAAAAAATAAGAATTAAATTTTTTTGGTGGAAACTAAAACATTTTTTAGGAGATAACTTCTATGACGAAAAATGATTGCGTAATTGCGTCAATGCAAGTCAATGTTTCGATTACTAAGTTATCTCTAAAATATGTGAGAAGAAATCATCACAAACTCGATCCTATCGAGTATTTTCCCAGCTATCGAAAACGTCTTTCGACCTTTGCTTCATAAACTCGCTTCTTCCGGGAATAATTACGTAAAACTGATGATATGATACCAACTAAACTCATCTTCTGTTTTGAATCATCTCAGTGATGACTAATACGAGGGGATATTATAACAACACCATTTTTGCTGTATTTCCCCTTTCCAAAAACAAGCAGGGGTTCGAGCCTACCCGACAGAAGGCATATGACCGTTACTTTTTGCATCATTAGTCTCTTTTTTTTTATTCCTACCAATTCTATTGTGACAGACATACAATTCTAACCACATGTTACCGGGTATCTACAGAAAAATATTCAACCTGTTAATGGAAAAGAGTTATAAAAAAGATTGAAATCTCCGAAACTGCTCCGCCGGTTGCGCCTATCCAAAATACCAACCTTCAGTATTGCAAGAGCTATAAGCATACCAAATTCAAATGTCAACTTGCTATCTCCATTTTTGCTCAAGTTATCATACGTACAAAAATGAAAAAAATTTAAAAACGAAAAAACGGGGATATCTCAGAAACTTTGTATGAACGGATACATAATTGATCCAGATAGTAGCTGCCGAGACGAGTATTTTGAAAAAAAAATTGAAATCCGTCAAATAGTTTATGAGATATTTGAAGAAATATATTTATTCAAAAGGTTGCATATCTCAGGAACCGCTCGGCCGATTATGCCCATCGAAAATACCAACCTTTAGTATTAAAAGAGCTAGAACCATACCAAATTGCAACTTGCGATCTCCGCTTTTTCTTAAATTATCGTGCGTACGAGATTTTCCATGAAAAACGGAAAAATCGTAATATTTCACACTGTGAATTCAAAAATCTGTATATTCTGATTGACCTACATAGAGGCCATCGAGACGAGTATTTTGAAAAAAAAAAAATGGAAATCAGTACAGTAGGTTTCGAGATATTGAGGAAAAACGAAATTTAAACAAGTTGTTATATCTCAAGAACTACAGGACCGATCGGGCTGAAACAGCGCGCCAAAGTTGAGCTCAATAACAGCTACAATAATCCAACATTTCAGATTATTATCTACAAATTTCACCGTATTTATGTTGAATTTTCTAAAAATTAATCACCCAAAAATCCAAGTTGTCGGATACATACATACAGGCGTGACCATAAAAACATCATTTCTTCACGTTTCATAACATTTTAGACTATTTTAGTAGCGAACTGGTAAAACGGTTAAAGGGGAAACGGAACCCCTGTGTCTATATGAATTTTTAGAATTGTGTTTCTCCTACAATTATTACTTTATATCTATGAAACTACTTTATCGACTGGATCATTGCATTGTCGAGTCCACGAAGTAGTTTCATAAATAAAAAATAATAATTGCAGGAGAAAATACAATTCAAAAAGTTCATATAGACAGGGGTTCCGTTTCCCCTTAAGTCGACTTATCTCCCAGTTGAGTTTTTGAGGAATATTTCCGAATCTAAGAAAGATAGCGAAATTTTGGTAATTACATTTGTTGTAGTGCTCAATCGGCTCTACAAAAAAGGTTATAACAACAATTTTGCTATCTCCCTTAGATTCCGAGATATTCATTGAAAACTGGTCAATAGTCAAAAATGACTTGTACCGTTTTACCACTTCGCTACTGATTTGCAATCAAAATTAGAAAATGGGAAAATCGGTCAAAAACAAAATTTCCATTCGGAAGAAAAAGAAGCTTCTTGGCATGTTACGTGGCATAGCTCATTTCACTTGATAATAACACAATGCCTAAAATGTTGTAAACAAACTTGACAGAGGCTGATGGAAAGTGCCGAGCAAGCTGCTGTCTCTTCCTCGAGGGAGGCGAATACTTCACCGAGGTATTACAGCTCCCACGATATCAACAGATTCACTAGTGATGTAAAGGGGACACCGCATCCTCGTGAGGTGCTGCTCTCAGTTCATCGACACTTTGACAATTTGCCAGTTAATCTGAGCATGTCGGGTGTACTCCTACCTCCGGGGGTTAAAGATTCTGGTGAGCGATTGCTTTGCAATTTCGAGTATATATACCACATCTATGTAAATATCCAATTAGGATATTGTAGCTGGATAAAAAAATGCAAAGAAAATTGCGAACAACAATTTAGGCCTGAGGTTTTTACATCTTGACTCCATCCAGAAATTCCAAATGTCTAATGAATACCGTTTACGTGATAATTCAACAGTAATTTTTGGAATTTAAGGGAAAAAAAAGAAATCTTATTAATAAAATTGAATTAATGAAAAAAACAAAGAAATCTTGAAACTTTGTGAACTATTATTTTTTAATTTTATGTGAATATGTCTTGGAATGAAAAAAATCTGAAATTGTTATCAGCAAATCAAAATGGTATGATGGAAGGGAATCTAATAATCCTGAGGTTGCGTCACAGAATATTAGTGAACATTGGCAAACAAAAATTGTAGAGATCATCGAATTCCAATTTTTGGTGTAAAGCAACTTCGTCATAAAATCCGAAACGACTAATTTCACAAGGAATCACCACTAAACATTCGATGGCAGATTGCCTAAGCTGTAAAAAAATATTCCGAAGTTTTCTCCTAGAATCGTTTCCACGATGCTCTCGCAATATATCCAGATTCCTCAATTTAATTTAATTTGAATATTTTTGTTTGCAATGGTTAGTTGATTACCAGTGAACTGTATCTTAACCGTAAATGTATTCTCCATTAATTGTAGATAGCGAAGTTGCTGTCGGGCTTCAGTGGAGTGACCACCTGGATCCCCTCTTCGTTAATAACTACGAGAGTGATCCCACTCTCTCCTGGCAATACTTTGGAGCAACTGCTGGATTTTTAAGACGTTTTCCAGGTACGTCTGACATTCTAGGAATCCGAGCGGAACTAATTGAATTCGAGATGACATGAAGCATTTTGGGATGTTTATAATGTGAAAGACACCGGGAAATTACTTGCATAACATAACAAGATCTTATTTGGGAACAATTTGTTCGTTAGAACATCGTCAATCCGTTAACCAGATCATTTTTGTCAATATGGATTGGCTACGAAAAAGTCATTCAGAGAATCCGTTCAGGGAATTACAACCGAGAAATTGAGCCTAATTAAATTACCTTATGAAAATTCCGATTCAGTAGGCTGTTAGGAGAAAAAAAAATTCAATAGGGGTTTGGATCGATTAAATGTGATGATTTTTAGGGTCACAATGGGATTGATAACTCATTCTACTAGATTTCCCGTTACTGATTTTCAACTATTTCTCTCATAATTGAGGTCCCAAAATTTATCTTTTCAATTCAGATACACAGAGAAAAAATTCATAGTTACCAGTGAAAATATCTGAATTCCAGAACTCTGATATATTGAAATCTAGTAAATAAAGCACACTGGAAATTATATTCCCAAAAAATCCGAGAAATAGCTAGCTGTTAGTAATTCAATAGCAAAGCGGTAAAGCGGGTTAAGTCGATTTTGACTTTTTTGTCAGTTTTTTGCTGAATATCTCGGAATCTAAGAGAGATAGCAAAATTTTTCTCATGACTTTTTTTATAACCCTCAATTGGATCTACAAAAAAGGTCCTGACAAAAAATTTTCTATCTCTTTTGGGTTATGAGATATTCTTCAAAAACTGGCCAATAGTCAAAAACGACTTGACCCGGTTTATCGCTTCGCTACTAAATTTTTACTTCAATGTTGTATAATAATACTTAAATTGAGACAGATTTGCTCTCATTTTAAGGAAATCTTGGTTCTGGAATTCAGATGTTTTGGGTTGTTGAGTTAAGGATATCCAAGTATCTTTTACAATTTGGTACGGACCACACTATAGATTCAACCATTTTCAATCATGAAATTTGTCAAGTAAATTCCGTGAGAAAAATTTGAAAAACAATTATGAACATTTAGCGTCATTCAAATTACATTTTGCCCAGAATTATTTCATTTTCTAAACCGTTGTTATTTATTTATAAATAAATAACTGAAATTGTTCAAACGTTCAGAAACCTAATTTTTTAGGCATGAAATCAACATGAAATTTTGAATATGAATAAATTTGTGGAAAATTGATTGTTTATCAATTATTTATAAAAAATGTACTTTTTTAATTATTTCATCAATCTTCCTCCAAAAGTAACCTTTTTGATTTTTTTTCAGACTGTTAAAACGGTTTCTAACGGTTCAATATCGAGATTTACATTCAGAGAAAGCTCTGATGTTCGATTGTAAAAGTATAAAAGTATTTCAGTGGAAAAAAATTAACCAAAGTACTTGGATATCCTTAAGAATATTCAGGTTCTCAAATTAAAAACATTCTCATTCTTAAATTGACCATTTTGCATTTTCCGAAATTAGTCTACTCATCTCTCTATATTATAAAAATCCAAATCGACTTCTAGTGATAAAAATTCGGTACTCGAAATTAAGACCTTACTAAGTAAAGGTTACAAGGGTCAGAATAAGGGTCACAAGGGTCAAATTAAGGATCCAAATAAGGGTCATGGGGGTCAGACACTAAATAAGGGTCACAAGGATTAAAATAAGGGTCTCAATATCTCTTCAAATTGTAAAAATCCAAATCGACTTTAGTGATGAAAATTTGGTGCTCGAAATTAAGACTCCAAAATTAAGGGTCAGAAATGAAAGATCAAAATAAGGGTCACGAGGGGTATAACGAGGGTCAGAATGAGGATTATTGGGATCATCACGTATAAAAAAATTCAATAGAAAATCTAGGGAATTCGCTAGAAAATTCTATTGTAATCCTATAGGAATTCTATGGGGTTTCTATAGGATTTCTATTGGAATTCTGTTGAAAAATTCTATTTGGTTTTTGCGCTGATTCTATTGGATATTCGATAAGAAAAAAGCCAATAGATTTCGAATTTCGGTTTAAATTTTTCTCTCGAGTTTTTTTCTATAAGAATGGTGGGGCACCAATTTTCTAAGTTTTTCGCACTCGAATTCTACAATGCAAAACAAAATCCAGCGGAAAAAACTTTGTGAAAATTTGTGCCCAATAATTCTAATAGAAAAAAATTAGAAGAAAAATTCAAACAGAAATTCGAAATCTATTGAGTTTTTCTTATTTAATATTCAATAGAATCAGCATGAAAAACAAATGGAATTTTTTCAATAGAATTCCAATTTTCTAGCGAATTTGCTAAGTTTTCTATTGAATTTTTTCATGCGAGACATGGGGGTTGGCGTGCGGCGCAAGCAGGGGGCGTAGCTCCTTAGTCTTTATATATCCTTTGGTATTTATAGAATATCCCCTGATACCTTGGTTCAATTAATATTGAATTTATGTGCGATTAGGTTCAAATTTCAGTCCTTTCGAATTTTCATAGTTTAAGAATACAAAGGTTCTTAATTAGAGAACTCAACGGATCTTGATTTGATAACTGTTCTCATTTGCAATAAGTAAGTTGTTTATTTGGAATATTAGGGATTCTTCTTCTAAAATAAAGTAACTAGTTTTTTATTCTCAGTACGCGAAGCCATGTGATAATCGAAATTATTTTTGTTTAGCCATTGCCTGGCCTCCAAGAAAGTTCTCAAACGATCCAGAAGACATGCCTGACGTGTCTGATTTTCGTACGATGAACTGGTTTGTCGGTGGTGCGACAAGCCCCAAAGACCTAGCCATTCTCGTCGATGCTGCGAGTTTTTCCTCTAGAAAACTTCGAAGTTTGACGATAGCTACTGTTAGAAGTATCTTGGATACGCTCTCGTCCAATGATTACGTAAATGTCTACCGATATGGAAACAGCGTCGAAGAAATTGTGAGATGTTTCAAGGACACTCTAGTCCAAGGATCTCCGGAGAATATTAAAGAGATGAAAACGACACTACCCTCGGTGCAGGCCGAGTCCAATACCAATGTTTCGGCGGCCCTAAGCGTTGCTTTCGAGGTTCTGCATAGGTACAACAGGTCGGGACTGGGAAGCCAATGTAATCAAGCAATCATGCTAATTACTGCCAATACTGAAGCTGCTACAGCAGATCTTATTAAGAAATATAACTGGCCTCATATGCCTGTCAGGATTTTTACGTATCTGGTGGGAGGAGACAAGAGTCCAGAGCTCAAAGAGATGGCCTGCGGCAACAAAGGTATATTGAAATAAAATCCTTGCATGAAGGGTTTCGTTGAGGGGGTATAATTGACATTAAAGCGGTATTGGAACGAATTTTGCGAATATTTTTGAAAGCAAGAGATTTCGGGAAATTTATAACGAGATTTTTTATATCTAGAATTTCATGGATTCCAAGAAAGTTTTTTCATATCTGGCTCTAAACCCACTTGTATCGGAAGTATTTGACCAAATTGTGGGAATCCAAAAAGTTTATTAGGGTATTTTTGCCAATTATTTAACGGTATGACTCTATCTTCAGAATTATGATTTTGTTAAGGCTTTTTGTTAAGAATTTTCAAAACCCGATCGAAGGAAAGACGATTTTTTATAGAACGAAGGAAGAATTTACTCTGATTTTTTTATATAATTCGTGAAATTGTCATTTCGAATGAGAAAAAAAAATCTGCAATCGTGCTGGGAGCAGAGTACAGTACCCGTTTTTTAACTTTTCCAGCAATTTTAAGCCATTTCCGATGCAGGGATCTAAACTATGTTCAATCGAAGGAATGGGAAATTCCCGTCGGAAATATATGTTGAAAACGAAAAAAAATACCTCTACTGCAACAAAAGGTTTCGTGAAGAACTCAAAACACAAAAAAATGACGTAGTAAGCAGAACAAAATTGAAAAAAAATGAAAACACAAAAAAATTTACCTCTTTTTAACAATAAGAAACTCATATGAGAAGCCTCAACGAAATCAAATTTTTTAACGTACGAAACTATATCAATAATTGGCGAAAACACCCATCAAAAGTATTTTACAATAGTAGGGGAGGGTGGGGTAAAACGGACACTTTAGACTTTTTTAAAATTATTCATAACTCAGAAACAAATTGATCAATTGAGCTCAGTTTAGGCTCGTCACAAAGGGAAAGAATTGTTCTTTGTATTGAAAACAAAGTTATTAAATTTTATCAACATTTCAACCCCTCATTAACATTTTGAAAAAAGTCAAAAGTGTCCGTTTTACCCGAATCTCTCCTATATTTCCACCAACGCGTGCGTTCAGAGAATACTGACCGAATACCTTTGTTATAAAAAATTCAATAAACAACAAATAAGATCCAACGCGTATGAAAAAATCGTATAGAAATTTTATATACGGATTGTGTATAGAATTTCTATAGGAGTTTTGTATATGATATTTGGATATTTCTATACGGATATTTTTTATACAAATTTTTTCTATATGATTTCTATAGATTTGATCCTATACGATCCACTGCCACATGTATAAAAACATTTTGTATGGAGTTGCGACATTTCTCTACGTTTTTCTCTGGAGCGTTTAGACATCTTTCGCACGAAAACAAAAGTTTATGTAAAAATTTATGTATACAAATAATTCGTATAGAAAATATTCGTATAGAAATATCCGAATATCATACACGGAAATCCTATAGAATTTATATACGCAATCCGTATAGAAAATTTCTATAGGTTTTTTTCATACTTGAAGAGCGACTAGTTTTACAGGTGGAGCGAATCATCCAGTGTTTGTGAAAGAATAAAATTTTCCAGTACCAGTGTTTGAAACGATCAAGTTTGATAATAACTTAAAGATGAGAAAAATTCCAATGCGTTTCATGGGATCGATGGACATTTTATTGCATTTCGAAGAGGAAAAAAACTACATTTCCTTAAATTAAGGGAAGATTACTATCAGTTATCGAAATTACTGGGCTTTCAATTGAATGTATGGTACCCATACGTTCTATAAATGCAAAAAAGTAAGAATGCGTACGGGAAAGAACAGAGTTCATTGTCCGATTGTGCTTGGCAAATGCCAGAAGCATAAAATGGAGACGACGGTCCAATATGCTTAACACTCCGTTGGTCGCGCAAAAGTTATGAACACCGTTGGTCGCGTCGTATGCGCCACGCCGCACCAGCATAAATCGACATAATGATAAATTTTAAAGATATAGGAAAAATCTAAAAACAAGCAGCGCGACCGAAGCCATTTGACAGATTACATATCACTGCTACTCTGCACGTATTTTTTTCTCCTCTTTTAATTTATATCAATTTCATTGGTAATAGGCTTCCGAATGGATCCCAATGTATGTTTTCAAAAAATGAAGGCATAAGGATTACCATTTTTTGAAAATATTAAGGCCAATCCCACTCATATTTCATGACAAAAAATGACTTTTTCTCTCAAGAATTTTGGGTGAATTGACCTAAAATTTGATATATATATTTGGTTTCTTGATAATCCTAACTAGAAACCAAAGTTTCAAAAGGTTTCCCTGACTTTTAACCATGTCATACACGGAGAAAAAAATTACTGTGCCAGCACGGTAAAATTGGTTCGTTTCGACAAAACCGGAAACATTACCGTACCAGCACCGGAAAATTTTCTGTGGAGTACAAGAATTTTTCACGGTAAATCCAAGAAAAATTGCTGTAGCCCACGGCAGAAATTCCGGTGCTGGCAGGAGAATTTTTCTGGGCCCGTCCAAATGAACCTATTTTACCATGCTATCAACCAATTTTTCTGGAATTTTTTTCTCCGTGTAATGCGCAAAAGTGAATTCCGACCAAAAAATATAAAAACGACGATATCTCGAAAAATTCCTATGGGATGGTACCCATATTTTGCTGCATCTAGATGGATAACATCAAAACGCACATTTTGAAAAAATAATTAAAATCGGCCCAATAGTTTTTGAGCTATTGAGTAAAAGAGTTTCATATAAAAAGCTGAATATCTCCGAAACTACAGGTCTGATTTCGTTCATACAAAATCCCAGACTTTGGTACCATAAGACCTAAAATCATACCAAGTTTCAAGTTTCTATCTCGATTATTTGTCAAGTTATCGTGCGAACAAGCGATCACAGCGAAAAAAATGGAAAACCGAGAATCAAACTACATTCTCAGGGTGTAATGGTCTTTCTTCAATCCAATTAAATAGGTATTATCATAACGAGTATTCTGAAAAAAAATTGAATCAGTCGAATGTTTCAGGAGATATCGGCAAAAAAGGATTTTCGAAAAATTGCAATATCTCAAGAATCGCTCAACCGATCGAGCCAAAATCTAGCACAAATTTGAGTCTCAGCAGTACCAATTAGCAGCCAGAATTTCAGCATCATTGATGTAACGAATCAAACGTGACATTTTTTCAATTGTACATTCATCTCAAAGGCCAGTGATTTCAGAAGAAAATGTCAGTCGGCCTTCTGTTGCTAGAAAATTTTTCAACAAATAATGGCCTTTGATATTTCCTGGTGAAACCACGCATTACAGTCTGTAATTTATAGGGAGAAAAATTTACCTGCAAAATTAGAATCATACAAGAACTTCAGTGTTCTTCTGGGGAAAAACGCGATTCCCAACATCCTAATCTGCAATGGAATTCTCAAATATTGAGAAGCTGAGAATTTACCGAAAGATACTTATCTCCACTCACTGTTTATATGAAAACTGCAAAAATAGTTGAGTTTTTCGTATGGTCCAAGGGAAAGGTGTTGACATTCTGATTTTCTAGACAAATTTTTCTTCATGCATTGAGATAATTGCATATCACTTAAATGTTACTTCATTGCAGACATAATTTTTGCTTCAAACATCTCTCGTTACTTAATGATTTCTCGTTCAAGGTTTTTACGCGAGGATTTCTTCAATGGAAGACGTGAAGAGTAAAGTTTTCGAGTACATAAAAGTACTCGCCAGGCCCATGGTGCTGTACCAGCATGATCACCCCATTCACTGGACACCTGCTTATGTGGGTGGCGAGGTACTTATGAATGAAAATATGTGGGATTCTGTCAATAAAACCATATTGTTCTGGTTTCCCACTGAATTCAATTATTCCTTTCATTACAGACTGGGAGATATGGACAAGAGGGACACCCCCAACTCATGACTTCAGTCACAGCGCCCATTTTGGATCGTCGTAATCACACGGTAACGGTAATATTCGAATTTACAAAATAATCAATGAGAAAAAAGTACATTGACTGAAATGAAATTAGATGTTCGCATTAGAGTATTGAACCATAACTGCATAACGAGTTTTCTTTAGTTTAGTACAGAATGAAGCAATTACGATGATAAATGATTCTAGGAGATAATGTCTAGAAACAAAATTTTTTCTCGGAAATTCCTTCAGGTTAAGAAAAACCTAGATATATGTCAATAAATATAAAATCGAAAAATAACACTTTAAATGTTAATTTGAACCTGTTCTCCTGTTTTTCAAAAATCTGAAATTTTTTTCGGAAAATTAGGAAAAGTTCCGATCGAAATCATCTTTAAACCTGCCGCACAGCCGAAAAACCAAATCAAGAATCAAAAAATGGATAATTTGAAAATTAATTTCTTATGGTTTAAGATTTTTTTTTATACTTTTACTTTATACTAGAAAACAAGCCGGAAACATTCGATGAACTGTTAAGAAGGCACAATAATCATTTCGATCCAATTTTGAATTTATTCTTCTTTCAATCAAATTACTTTAGCTGTGCAGCACACGAGCGGATAATTTTAGGAAAAAAATCGGTGAAAAACGTGGAGAACAGGCTTACATCAACGCGTGAAGTTTTATTTATGGATTTTAACCATAAAGTTGAAGAGGGGGAGCAAAATGATAACCATTTTTTTCAATTCAGAAAATTTCCGATCAAAAACGATGTTTTGAATTTTTGTAAAGTATTTTTTAACACGTTAAATTAAATAGAATAGTCCCGGTGGCTTGGTGCAGTGGGTAAGTTCGTTGCCTCACATGCGAAAGGTTCCGAGTTCAAATCCCGGCCGGGTGGAATGGTGCGATCTAACCATTTAAAGTCTTTATCATCATCGCAGTATACCCTTACCGGGTCGAAGCGATGTAAAATGACGATAAAAAAGTTAAATAGAAGAAAGTTTAATGTAAAATGTTTAATCATACGTAGCACCTCTTATTAAGTCACGGAACCTCTGCTAGCCGAGAAATCTTCTTTTCTATTCATACACTGAGAGAAAAATTTCCTAATACACGGAGATGACATAAAATTAAAAATTACAATGTGAACATATTAATCGAGGACCATACCGAAACAACTTTTAAAATTTGATTCATGTGAACCGAATTTTTACTCGTGACAAATTAAATTTTACTTTTATTGTACCACTTTCTACTATACCGACACGCAATTTTTACTATGTTCAACAATAAATTTTGAGGGTGGCGAGTATGGTCCTCGCTTACTATGTTCACATAGTAAAAAATAATATTTTTTTTTTCCGGGTATGTTGACTATATTTGCTTGAAACAACTAAATTATTTTCAATGGCTTAAATCATAGAAGGTTTGCGCTTTACAGAACTCGAATAAATTCTCATTTATCACCAAAGTTCCACGTCACATGATGAATATATTACATATCGAAACATTGGAAGTGTATCAATAAAATCATGAAAACAATAAATATTTGGCGATTTTTCCACGCGATTTCCATGAGTGCATTCGCGACAAAATCATACTTGAGTACAAGAATATTTTAAAGCATGAGATTTTTCGCGGGCCACGATTGAAGAAAAATTACTTGCCTCAAGTAAATATGTTTCAGACATTACAATTTTTTTTCTCATTGTAACTATTGAGAAGAACCAAAAAAAAAATTGTCGAAAATTTTGCGGCCGGATTCTTCTACGACACTTGGCAGAATGGCCCATACTATAAATATTCGTTTGATTACATTTCCCATGATTGTGATGTTTGATAAGTCACTGTGTCCATTCCGCAGTTAATCCACGACAACTATAGATTCATTCATTTACTTTCATTGATGCAGGCAAAAACCGCTAATTTACTGGGAATTGTTGGAACTGATGTGCCAATTGAAGAAATTCAAAAGCTCGTCCCTCCATACAAGGTTTGTTTCAAAAAATTATCGAGATTTGTTCAATAATTTCAAGAGTGTTCAATTTTTTTCATTAGCTCGGTGTCAATGGTTACTCTTTTATCGTCGACAACAATGGGCGGGTCCTGTATCATCCCGATTTGCGTCCTTTGGTAAGAGTCTTCTCAATTGTTCTTCAATCCAAATGAAAATTGGTCTGTAATAGGATTCTATGAAGTATTTTTTTCATAGAATTCTTTCCACTGTAACAACGAATTAATAAAATGAGACGAGTCAACTCCAGTTCAAAGTGAGCCCCTGATAAATGGAGCAATTGTAAAATGTATGTAAATCTGAGACAGATTAGAGTAAAAGAGTTTTGTCATAGGGAGTCTTTTGTAAAGACATTGCAGTAAAGTGAAAACTCGAAAAAATGCCCCTATGAAATTTCGCGAATTTCTTTAAATTCTTAGATATTTTCCTAAAACTGATTGGGAACGAAAATTCTCTCATCTCGTTTTATTCCTTCACTGGAGTATTTTCAGCGATTCCGAACAAAAATAACGTTTATGTTTTCTCTTTCAACAGCCAACTGGTCTTTCTGTGAGTATAAAATATTACATTACAGAATATTTACATTACATATTATTTACAAATACGTTTCTGTAGCGAAGTCATTCAAAGAAATCAAAGATAAGTCTGGAAACGTGATATAGATGATTCTGTAAATATCTATGAACCGATCCGCATTATTAGCGACAAAAAATATTTCTTGATAAATGACTGTAAAGCTTCACGTACGTTACTCCCATAATTGTAAAATAATTCGACTGTCGTTTCTCGACTTATCTCATTCTCCAATTCCGGCACTAATAAATATAGTGTTTTGCGTTACAAGCGCGCCGGAGATTCCGTGCCTTCATGTACACATTTACACCAATAGTGCACTCCATTAGGGGAGAAAAATGAAATTTTGAATTGCACTGAAAAGTTAACCCTAGCCTGATCACCAAACGCGACCCTGCGATTGGTCACCTCCCCAGGGATTCCCCGCCGTTATTGAGGCTCTAGCGTTACCGAATTCGCTCTTAACTGCCTGGGCGCGTTTACCGAGTTTCCGGCAACGTCGCGTAATGGGCAATTTTATTTAACATGGGAAAAAATAATTCGTCTGTTCGAAATAATTTGTTTTCTTTAGGAATTTCGAAAAATATGTTGTTCTAAAAATTACATTTCAATTGACAAAATCAATTTTTTTGAGTTTTTCCGGTTAGCTAGTGAATTTTAATTACAGAAAAATGACGCGCGGTAGGGTTTCCCTCATAGGGTAACCAGTCGAGGGTTAATGGAACACGAAATTTTTGGGAAGTCGGAAGATGGGGATTCCCCGGCTTACTTAGTCCAATCAAAACATGAGTGCTCAAACCAAAATTATGCTGAACTAGCGAACAGGTGCTTCGCTAGAATACTTTGTACTATATTATTTTATTTTATTTTTTTCGCCTTTTCCGTCTTCAGGATTAGATTAAGTTACTTCGATGCATTCTTATTCTTGATATATATATTTTTGCCAACTGCAAAAGTGGACCTTTTACGGCCCTACCGACGAATAACTCCATGAAATATCTTTTCGAATAATGAAAGAATACCCATTAATTCGATTTCTATCCTTGTGTTTTGATAGAATGATGAATGTAATCACGAATTGAAGACTGAACATTTTTAAAAAAGGATAATCGGCTAGAAAATGGAAAAATTTGTTTTTCTTCATTTGCGTCGGTGGAACCTTGAAATTATTGTTTTTCCTTCAAATATGGAAAGGATATGAATATTTTCAAGTTTTATGATCTCATCTTAGCGAGAAGAAATGAAAAAATGCAAAATAACGTGGGCGGAAAGAAATAACAAATTGAATTTTTTAATGTCTCCGGAAAGTTTTAAAATCGATATATTTTTTCGAATAAAGTGAGAATACCCATAAATTTGATTTCTATCCTTGTCTTTCGATAGAATAAATAGAATAAATAACAGAAATTAAGAATTGAAGACTAAACATTTTATGTGATTATTATTATGTAATTTTTAATTAATTGAAAATTCGAGAATATATTTGTGTAAATTTTCCTGATTTCTATTGATTTTCATGGAATAATTGAACTGAAATTGTGAATTTTCAATGGCGGAATTCCCTAAAATTCCAGTGAAATGGTCACTAGATGAATATTTCTAAGAAATTTACAGAAATTTCCAGGCAAAAATTTCTAACAGTGTAGTACAGGTAGGCGGAAAAAATAGCGGAAGGAAAAAATAGCCGATGGGTGTAACACGTGTTGTGCGTAGCAGGCGACAAAATGATCGGTCATTTTTGGGGTAGACGGGAAAAATGACCGAAAATAAACGGTCATTTTGTCATCGGCTATTTTTTCCGTCGGCTATTTTTTCGTACATTCTGTAGTACACCTTATTCTTTATAGTAGCCTCCGAGTTCACTATTTATGGACGAACCTAGAGAGAAATTGTGTGCAGCTCATTTGAGCGGGTTAAGTTAAGCTTTACGTCCAAGGATTTCGTTGACGTCTGACCTGTAACTTTCACGCATTCGGTGGAGAAAACGTGCATTTCAGGATCATTAGCTTTTTCTCCCCAGAAAAAAAACGCATGAATAAAATTCATAAAAAAAGCTTGCGCCTTTGCTGAAGATTTCGATTGGATTTGTCTCGGAAATCTCACTGCTTTTCTGTTTTGTTTTTGTTCGGAGCCATTTAATAGCAATTATTTTATGGAAAAACTTGATAGGAAATTTCTATAAAACTCATTCTATTAAGATATTTTTTATGAAAATTCTCCGAAATAAATTTTTCAATTTGTTTTCCTTCATTTTTGCTCGTCCAATTGAAAAAAAAAACTAATAAAACAACTTGGAAAATCTAGAACGAAGAGTTTCTATAGAAAAGATCTCAGTAGGATACGTTGTACGGAGAAATTAAATTCTACTGACTTTTTCACAAAATATTAGAGAAAACTCACAGAAAAGCTACAGAATTTTCAAATCGAATTAGCGAGAAACTAATGGAGTTTTCAATGGAGTCCAATAAAAATCGAATATAATTTTCTAACGAATGGGCCGGATTTTTCCATGATTTTTTTTCGTACGTAGAACTTCCCAGAACAATGATATAAAAATACGCTTATTATGATGAATAATAATAACCCTTTCTACCAAATTTTCAACCATTTTTTACAGTATGAAAACTCTTTGAAGCCTCGTTACACGAGTGTTGATCTCTCCGAAGTGGAGTTATCCGAGGACGATGGCCCCACTCACCCTCTGAATAATTCGGGACTTCCGGATGTACGTATAGAAATACTTTTCAACCACTGAAACCCCTGGAATTACAAAACTCGTTGCATTTTCAGTTGAGACGAGATATGATTGACCAGAAAGAGGGCGAGATTAGTTTCGCCGTGAAAATCCATTACGACGATATGGTATGTACTCATTCCAAACTTTTTAATCGGCCCGCATTGTATAAATTTCAATTACTCTGAGTCATTCTTATGAATGTGTTGTTTTTCCAGAGAAGAGTAACAATTAGAAAGCACAACTACTTTTACAAACCGATTGCGGGGACTCCGTTCTCTCTGGGATTGGCATTGCCTGAGGGCTATGGCATGTTAGAAGTCAACGCCGAACTGGAAATAAAGCATGCGATAGTGAATGGTAATTAGAAATCACTTCTCAACATAAATTTTTCAAGTTTCAAGTTTTCTATAGTAACAATCACAATAGAATAAGTTATGCAGAAAGATGAAAATCTATTTATTAACTTCTTGATTTAAAAAGGAGGAAGTTATTGTAATGACCCTGAAAATCAAATTTGGAATTTTCATGATTTGTCGACGTTTCATGAGGTTAAGCATTATTTTCAATCATTTCTGGATACCTGATGTTTTAATGATGTGCGTCTGTGTATTTGTGTGTGTACGTATGTAAAACAAATTTTGTCCAACAATTTCTCCAGAACAAGTGGACCATCAAAAATTTTTGTTTTGCAATCGACGTGTCTTTGTGCAACTTACAACTGATTAATTTGTGAAGACGATCGTCTCAGCGGTTCTTCAGTTATCCTAAAAAATATGTGAAGAAATGCTAAAAACCGATTTTGCGTATAATAACGATGGGATTCAGATTAATTGTTTGCAATCGATGCATTGTCACTTATCACTAATATCCCGTACCGAGATCATTCAGAAATTAAGATCACACGCAAGCAAAAATTCCAGAGATAAAGGTGGCGCATTCGATAGAAATTTTCTCCGGATTCCTGCTGGGCTTCTATTAAAAATTCTATTATTGTTTCACCGATTCTATTGAAAAATTCTAAATAGAACTGATTTAATGAAAAATATTGTATAGATAAAATTAATAGAATTTGATATTTCTATAGAACTTATTCTATTGAGATATTTAATGTAGAAATTCCTCTACAATAAATTTTATAAGCTTTTTCCTTACGGTTCATTACTTTTCCTCGTCCAAGGATTGATATGGGCCCTTCCTCAAACTCGTAAAAGCGAAAATCATTACTGAAAATTATCGTTCATGACCAGTGCCATAGGGTTTTTTACTTGTGTGCTCAAGACGAGTAAAAAACCTCATGGCACTCGTCCTTCAAAATATACTCTTTCCATCTTTTCTCCTCTGATAAAAAAAATCGAACGAAAAAATTCGGGAAATTAAGGCCAAAACATTTCCATGGAAATATCACGATATAATAAGTTGTACAGGAAAATCAAAATCTATTGATTTTTTCCATACGTTTTTCATACACTTCGAAGGAAACCTTTGAAAGATGATATCATAAGACATTTTTATAGCTCATATAAAATTCTCTACACGGCAGTAGTTTTCCACCTAGTGGCGAAGGATATTTTTTATTACGGCGGTGGTGAGCGGCATTTTAGACACGCAGCTCACATGGTGCGAGGGTTCAGGAACGAAGTGACAAAAATTTGTCTTAATACTTCCTCCTAGCATTATCATTTGTAGTGATGCCGCGAGAGACTTCACGAGACATCACGAGATAATACTTTGGAGGCATTGTCTCGGTCTCAGTGAACACGAAAATTTTAGGTCTTGTCTCAGTCTCGAAGTACGCAGTACCGACTTCTCTCGTGATAGTTCCGAGTCAATTTATCTCATCTCGGTTTCTAGTTTTTCGCGCCTTTTCTATGTTGAAAACCGAGACGAGATGTTGAAAGCCGAGACAAAAACCGAGATTTGACATTGAAAAACATTAAAAACTTGACACCGAGATGAGATAAATTGACTCGGAGTCATTATGAGAGGAGTCGATACTACATATTCCGGGACCGAGACCATGTCTCTAAAGTATTGTCTCATAAAGTCTCTCGCGGCATCACTAATCATTTGCTGGAACAAGCAAATAATTAATGGAATTAATTTGTTTGTTGATTTATTTCATTCCACCATTACTCATTTCCAATAATTCATGATCTCTCTTGTTTCTTTCAGTGTTCGATTATTTCAATGGTACTAATTGGAAAGTACACCCTGACTGGGTCTACTGCGAGTACAGTTCGGCGTCAGATAAGAAATTTAAGTCCTCTGAGGAACGTATACTCCATTTCCTAGCAAGAACAAGAATGCCTGGATGGAAATGGATGTCAATGAGACCAAAGAGTCCCAGCTCGCATCATAATCAAGCGAGCAAGCCTGACAAAGACGCACATTACTGTAAGTATCCCAAAATTAAGTAGAATAGAGTTGCGATGAGTTGACGTAGTCCGTTGCTGTTATGAATTATCAAAATATGTCCGTGATGAGTGAGGCTCTTCGACATCGTTAGAAGACCATTCTCGTAGTCAGGAAAATTTACTTTGAAAATTTCTTATAACATCACTTATTACAGTAATTAGTTACTCATAAAGAAATGAATCGGCTAATCAGCATTTCTGAATTAAAACGTTCCATAAAAATAAAATTGTGGTGCCTTTTTCGTTTACAAAATTTAATTCACAAAATGATGAATTGATTGAAAAATTACATTCAACTTGCAGATCAATCTTTATTAACACGAAATAAATAATTAATAATTGCAGGTGATAAAAGACTAGTTCAGTCTCTCGTACTGGACGCAGTTGTAACTGGTGGATTTAATAAGAGGGACAGTAATGCAATGCACAAGGAGGATAATCAGAAGTAAGTACACTCCATCACATCGAAAAAAAAAATGGAAACTAAAATAATCTACGAAAAAAGGACGAGTAAAGCATGCATTGCAATTAATTACTTGTTGACCCACGCACCTTTTCGATGCACAATCAGCACACACTCTTCTATTCACCAAAATGCATTGAGCAATACTCTAAATGTAACCGTTTTTCTTAGCTAGAGGAAAAATGCACTAGAAAGTTTTCTATAATTTTTTCACAATGACGTGGATGGCTGCTTTGTACATTCGAACATCATCAGATTTTGACGACTGAGTATCGTTCACTCAATTTTGCACATCCATGTATTAAAGAAGTACAGAGATTTTCTTCTCACACTGTTCTATTGAGCACATTGCACTGAGTTGAATCCAGGAATAATGGTAGGCGGAAAAAATGGCCGAATATGACCGGTCATTTTGTCGGTTCCCACACACAACGCGTGACTACCCATTGGTTATTTTTCCTTCGACTTTTTTTTCTTACATTCGGGAATAATGGAATGAATACTTTAAACTTTTAAATAAAAAAGCTATCAACAACTTGTTCAATTGTTAATGAAATAGGGTAAAAATTGTTCGTCAAGTGAGCTCAAGTGTTGAAACTGTGTCTGAGTGATGACTATTTCTTCAGAAAATCAAATGTCTATTGTTTTTTATAGAGAAAGTCAATATATAAGTCCTGTAGAAACTAGGGGTTACGCCTCCTGCTCACTCCGCTCGCCAACCCCCATATGACCCAGATATGACCTCCATATGATCCTCATATGACCTCCATGATCCTTATTCTGGCCCTCATGACCCTTATTCTCTTCCTCGTGATCCTTATTTTGACTCACGATCCTTATTCTGACCCTCGTGACCCTTATTTTGACCCTTGGGACCCTTAATTTTGGAGTCTTAATTTCGAGTACGAAATGTTCATCACCAGAAGTCGATTTGGATTTTTATAAAATAGAGCGATTCTTTGGAATAAATTCCCAATTTTTTTTTCACTGGATTTTCTTCCCTTTTCTACCGGAAAAAAACACAGAAAAACCGTGGAATTTTTCGATAGGACAGGTGAAAAACTAATGTTCAATAGAAATTGAAATTTTAAAAAAGTTCAATAGTAATCCAATAGAACTTCCCAGCGAAAGCGTTAGCTATTTCTATTCAAGTTTGTTTCTTGGTAACAAAATGCGATATTTCATGTACACTAGTCCCGATCACATAGATTTTTTTTTTGTGGCGTGTAATTCCTGAATTACACGCCTGTTACTGAACTCAGGAATAAGAAGTACACGTGTGAGAAACGTCCTTTTAATGCTGAAGAAAATTTCACACATTAACATAGACTCCCTCTGATTATTGTTGCATAAATTACTGCTCGATAAGATCGTTTTTCATATGAGTAAAATCTAATGCTATCTAATTCTGCATCGATTCGAAGAATGTTGTACACGGCGTGTAATTTACCAGAGTGACTGAAATTAAAGCCCTTGAAAATGTTTCTTTCCGTTGACTGCAATTCAACTCTGTGCGAAACATTGCATTTCAAACTAAGCTATATTGATATAATGAAAAAATCTAAAAAATCAAGTGTGTGAAATTCGTCCTCGTAAATCTGAAAATGTCCGAGAGTAGGAAACAACAACGTGAATGAAAAGAAATAATAGAACAGAAAACACCATCAATGAAGAACGAGAAATGTTATTTCGTCAGATTAATTGTTTTGTATAGATAACAATGACTGTATGAGTAAATCAAGAAGCGATTCGCCCATTATTATAACCCGGCAATGAGGATGAACGTCTCAGGGAACGCTTGCAAAACTACGAGGAACTGAACAAATGACTTGGGTTGAACTTATTAATCGAATTACCCACGATACAATCTCATGGGGTAAATTGAGGCGAGGGTAATACAATACACAATGAGGAATAATGAAAAAAAAAATTGAGCTTCCATTTGGGAGCAAAAAACATTGATAATATTTGCTTTAAGAACACTCTGCACCTGTTTTTATCAAAACACCTATATTTTTTTATTTATAAATATTTATACTTTATTGCAGTTATTTTTATTACATTATTTATTATTGTGTGTCTCCACCGCCAGCCCCATTGCCATACTGATGGCTCTTCTGCACAGGTAATTTTATTATGCACAATTATACGTTTAAACCTCACTTCGCAGTATTGCACGGTAAATATGTCACGGTCATTCAAGGTGATTGTGTTTTTGGTGTGCACTGATGAAACAGCCCTCAATTATCATTATTACTTCTGTGATTATGATGTATTGATTTTTGTTCCCATATTTTTTGTTAGTTTTTTTTGTTTCATTTGCGAAGTCATAAGCGGAATGAGAGAATTAATTGAGAGATGATGTTTTTTTTTCAAAACTCAATCGAATAAAGAATGGAAGGAATAAAATGATAGTAAAATTTGAAATAATTTAAGGGTAAAGGGATTGAAGGAGTTGTTTCGATTTCACTTTGAAGTCAGTTTTCTGAGGATATTTCAGAATTTGCAGGAGTTAACACGCACGAAAAAAATTAATAGAAAAACATAGCGAATTCGTTAAAGAATTCTGTTGGATTTCTATTGAACTTTCTATTACGTTTTCACCGATTCTATTGAAATGTTCAATAGAAAATATTCATCAGAAAAAGTCAATAGAATTCGATTTTTCTATATAACTTATTCTTTTGGATATTTTCTATAGAATTTCCTCAGTTCAAAGTTTCCAAGGTTTTTTCATTCTATTTTTCTTTGCGTCGTATTAAGAAAATCAAACAAAAAACTTAGAAAATTTGAACTGAGGCAATTCTATAGAAAATATCTCAATAGAATAAGGTATACAAAAAAATCCAACAGAATTTTTCTACGAATTCGCTAGGTTTTTATATTAAATTTTTTGCTACGTGAAGAATATTTTTGTGGAGATCTTTGCGTAACTAAGTGAAAGCTACAAAAAAGGTCTCGATGAAAATACGTCTGTCCCTCGGATTCTGAAATATTTGTCAACAACTATATTCCGAGTCGATTCGAATCTTCTCGATTAACCCCTTTAGGACTAAATTGTTGGAGGATTTCCGGATTATTAGGAAGACACATTGTAGAAATATCTACTCATTGTCTTCATTTTGAAATTTTCCACCCATCATTAATAATTACAGAGATCAATGCTGTAGTGAAGATATGAGAGGAGATGAGTTAACAATTTACGTGTAAATTATTCAGAGAATCATGGAAACGATGAAGTTTGAGAAAATCATCCGGAAATCTGTTTCGCAGATGAATTTCTTCAAGCTTCTATATTCCAAAGAGATTTTCAAAATAACACGTAAGACGGCGTGGGCTTGTATCGCTTAATTTCGTGAATACTGTGAAAAGTGGGAGGTTCAGCAGAATTTATCAAGAAATCTTCTGATGAATTTTGATAAACGTTCTCATTTCACAGATATTCACAAACAACTTGTACATTGAGAGCATGAACAACCCAATATTACAAAAATAATCTGGTTTGCTAAGAAGGTAGTACAAATATTCGATCAATTCTGATATAATGTAAACAATACTGATACTGAATGAAAAATTAATTCTTTTTCCGAAAGGAGATAATATTCTCAACACGATAAGAAAAGTTTGAGATAAGAAGATGGAGTCATTTCTTTCAAACTCATCACAATTGAGGGCAAGTGAAAGTCATATTTCAGGAATATCTGGAAATTTTCTGTTGTATGACTTTTGCATTCATTCATTACAAAATCAGAGGATTCGTGATTCACTGGGTCGAAGCTTTTAGAATTATGAATCATTTTCTCAACCCCTGACACAAAGAAAAATTTTTTTGAGCCAAGAAATTCAAATCATAAAATTTACGGGATTTGCACATGGCCTGTTTTATCATACGGAATTCTTCTCCCTGAAAAAATTAGTTTTGCGATATTAGGTCATTTTTTCTCTCAGTTTGCGCAAGTTTCGGACTCGTCTCGTTTCATCCCTTCATGAGTGAATATATTTGGCTCAGGATCAATGATAGCTCGTGATTGGAAAGATCGAGTTATCATTCTAGTGAAAGATGTGTTTGATTTGTCGAGCGAATGAAATCCATTAATTTCTCCCTTCGATTTTGCAGCCAAGGAAAGGGGAGATTCGACATTGTCCGGAGTTTCATTGCAACGAGGAGTGGCCTCTTGCGATGGCACGATCATCAAGAGAATAAGGAGGCTGATGATGAACCGTAAATTCTTATACTACATTACATTAATTCAATGATCAATTTTTTTTTGTCCGAAAAACGAAAAATTTCTATTGGAATTTTCTCAAAGTTTGCATAGTAATTTGGTTTCGATTGTGTTATGCGAATGAAGGGGAAACAAATTTATGTTTTTGGTTGAACAGGCATTTTGCTGATATGAACAAAAGAGCTATGGACACTTCTTGGTACAAAAGAGCTGCTGAGCAACATGCCATTGAACCAATGAGTTTTGTCTTCAGTGTACCATCCAACGCAGGTAAATGTTGGGATGTTTATGAGGTGTTCCATGCCAAATGAGTCAACGGTTGACCCTCACCCTCTTGGAAATTGATCTCGATTTTTTCCGCGATGGGGGGAGGGGGGGGGGCTGGAAAAACTATCTCTCAATTTTTTCAGTTTTTTTTCGACAGTCCATTTCGGAGATATGATTTTTTCTTTGTTTTCTTGTTTTTTTTTCAATAACTCGAGTTCTATTTATCCGATTTTGATTTATGATACGTCCAAATTACATAAGAGTATATAAGAATATTTTTTATATATTTTTTCAATCCCTAGGCGCTCATAATACCGAATTAAAAAAAAAAAAAAGTTGAAAAACTTGAATTTTCAAAATTATGTCACGTTTTATTTTTCTTTTATTTTTCATCTTTTTCTCAGTAACTCTTGTAATCAAAGCAAGTTTTTTGAGCCGTTATACAAGTTGGGTTTCGTCCTAAATCTGCTCTATTTTCAATTTTTTCTTCTCGAAATTCCACGAAGTTGGTCAAAATACCCCAAAATAGCGTTGATCGAGTTTGATCATAAACAGTATGAAGTGAATTTAAATGTATACTTATATGTTACATATGTTTTCGATGCATAATCGACGTCGTTTTGGGGTGTTTTCACAAAATTTGCAACATTTCGAGAAGAAAAAATTAAAAATAAAATAGATTCAGGACGACACCCAACTTGTATGACGGCTTAAAATACTTGGTCTGATGATAAGTGTTACTAAAAAAAGATGAGAAAAATAAAAGGTGACATAATATTGAAAATTCAAGTTTTTCCATTTTTTTTTGAAAATTCGGTGTTATGAGCACTTAGGGATTGAAAAAAAAATTACCTGAAGTCTTTTTACAGATGGTAGAAAATGGAAAATTTTGACGCATCATGAATAAAAATTGACTGAATAAAACCCGAGTTATAGAAAAAAAAATGAAAAAACAAAGAGAAAATCTTATCTCCGAAATGTGCTGTCGAAAAAATTTGAAAAAATGGTTTTTCTAGGCCCCTAATCGTAAAAAAAATTGAAATCAATTTCCAAGAGGATGAGAGTCAGCCATTGACTCATTTGACATGGAATACCTCTTATAAATTGTTGTGAATTTGAGCGAATTTTGCGGAAGACACTCACAGAAACAATTAAACTTTTTATAATTATTCTTTTAATCTTCAAATTATTATGTTCCAAGACGAGCGATTTCAGAACATAATGTAAGCAGATCTCTCTTGGTGCTGTGACACTTCCAAAACAAAAATGTTTTCTATTAATTCCTACTGAAATCCCCCATGAGTGAGATAACACCATTTGAATATGATGAATTCTGTCGAATTTGTTGAGAATTACAAATATTTTGTTAAGGTATGGGTGGCTGTAATGCTTTCTACATTGGATGACAAAGCTATGGTAAATATCGGCACAATTCATTCAGACATATTAGTTGATTATTGACATTTCTAGGGATTTAGTAGGGTAAGGAGAAATCATCAGAAAGCCATTTTTGTAGGAAATTTTCTCAGCTGCAAGATCGATCTTCTGACATCTTTTCTTCTGGGATCACTCATTTCGAAAATGATTGCCTTATCAACAAGGATGTTATGCTTGGCTTTTAATCACGTTATTACTGAATTTTTGTGCTATTTCTCTACTTCTGGATAGAACAACACGGCCATAATATCGTGAATAAGTTTGAAAATTTGTAAATTTGATGTCACGTATGCAAAAACTTCATAGAAAAATCTAGTGATTTCACTTGATAATTCTATTGAAATGGTAAATAAAAAATATTCTATAGAAACAGTAAATAGAATTCGATTTTTCTCCACAACTTATTCTATTAAGATATTTTCTATAGAATTTCTTCGGCTTAAGAAAAATAGAATGAAAAAAACTTGGAAAATTTGAACCGAGAAAATTCTATAGAAAATCTATAGAATACTTTCTATTGAACATTTCAATAGTCTTGAGCAAAAAGTCATAGAAAGTTTACTAGAATTGTCTAGCGAATTCGCTAGGTTTTTCTATTAAATTTTTCCGTGCGTGATCTCATTATGAAAACCTTATATTGCCATTCTCTTTTCGCAATTTCGAAAAAATGCAGAACCGCCAATTTTTTTCCAACAGTTCACCAGGGTCGATTGTTTTTACTAAAAATTAATTTCCATTTAATTAGCGGAGCTCTCGGAGCCTCTGGTAACAGCAACGCATGCGGTTTATGTCGAGATGAGAAACGGCCACAAAGCACCAGCGGCTGTGGTCGGCCTCCAATTCCAGCATTCGTCTCTGGCGACTCATTTCATGAATATTACTTCCACGGTATCACAAAAAAAATGATAAATTTCCGTTAAAATTAAATTCATTTTTTACTTTGATAACATGACCATTTCCTTCCTTACAATTGCAGTGTTCAAATTGCAAGAAGAATTGCGCCTCTGAAGAGCTTGATTGCTATATTTTGGATAATAGCGGATTCATTATAATAAGTGAACGCCATGAACACACAGGGAAATTCTTTGGAGAGATTGACGGGACCATCATGGATTCACTTGTACAGGATAAAATTTATCGGTAACTTCATCAATTCAATTCATTCATTCATTCACGGAATGAAGATAACTGAATCAACGTTCTGGTAAAATTATTGGATGGAATTCCAGATCAATTTTTTCAGCACGTGTGCGAAAAGTGAAATTTTACGCAACGAAAGTGCGCAAAATCTCAGTTTCCACACGTTGCGCGGAAAAATAGGGTTGGACACTCGTGAGAAGTGTTTTTTGACCCTTGGGAGGGTAGCGCTGCACACCTCCTACGGGTCAAAAAAGATATTTTTGTAATACCTGCCTCAAAAGTTCACTTTTCGAAACCGTTTAGTGTGTGTAAAGTGGTTGTTTTACGCACACCGTGCACAAAAGCAACCACTTTACCCCCACTACGGTTTCGAACAGAGAACCCGGCAGGTATTACGAAAAATAGGATGTGTTAAGCGTGCGTGCGAAAAAGTGGTTCTTTATGCACTTGTAACACAATATGCTATTTCGATAGAATTTTTTCGGCTCAAATTTTCTAAGTTTTTTTGTTTGATTTTCTTAATGAGAAAAAAAGAAAAAGAAAATTTAAAAAACTTAGAACATTTGAGCCGAGGAATTTCTATAGAAAATATCCAAAAGAATAAGTTATATAGAAAAATCGAATTCTATTGACTTCTTCTGATGAATATTTTCTATTGAACATTTCAATAGAATCGGTCAAAACGTAATAGAAAGTTCAATATAAATCCAATAGAATTTTCCAACGAATTCGCTAGGTTTTCTATTATTTTTTTTCTTGTCTGTGATATTGTGTTACTAGCGCATAAAGTTGCACTTTTTCGCACACCCGTGTAACACATCCTATTTTTTGTGATACCTGCCGAGTTCATTGTTCGGAACGCTAGTGGGGGTAAACTGGTTGTTCTTGTGCACGGGTGCGTAAAGTTCAATGCCGTGCGGAAAACAACCGCTTTACGCACACTAAACCGTTTTGGAAAGTGCACTTTTGAGTCAGGTATTACAAAAAATCTTTTGTATAGATGAAAATAATTAACAAAGGAGTCACATTTGCGTTCTACCACCTCAGAGTTGATAAACAGTAATGAGTTGTTACATTCTCTTCTCCCCAACTTCATGCATTAATCGTTTCACTCTCTCCCATCAGCAAAGTTACAGTGGTGGATTATCAGGGCGTCTGCTCACCCCAGGAGTCATATTTATCAGGGGCACCGAGAAGTGTTTCCCAATCGATCCTGAAGACGATGGGATCAGCACTCGGCCTACTTTGGGCCTCGTTCCTCAGGCTAAACCTATACGAATCAATCACTCCTGCGTTGGGATGGCCTGGAGATGAACAACGTGGTAAATATTCCTGATTCCCCTCATTATCACGCCAGTCTGTGCAACATCATTCATAAAAATAAATTATGTCTCGTGCAGACGACACTGAAGTCAGAGACGAAGAGGAGACTCTCGACGAGATTTATCCCCCAAATCTGTCAGAAGATCGTCCCGCAGCCGAGAGTGACAAGATCCTCCAATATCCAGCATCTGTGCCCACCGCATCTCCAGCTCATGCCACATCACCTCCATATGTGCTCAACAAACTGCGCACGTGTGAGAAGAAAACCGATTTATACATTCTCCAGCCTGAAAGGCTCAATACCAGTGGCCAGAGTAATCCCTTAAAGGGTAAATTGACTAATTGTCATGTCACAGGTTGCGAGAGGTACGTAACTGATTATTAAACGATTCACTTTATACCCAGAATTTAAATGAGGTATTCCATGTCAAATGAGTCAACGGCTGACCCTCACCCTCTTGGAAATTGATCTTGATTTTTTCTACGATTGGGGGACTAGAAAAACTATCTCTCAATTTTTTCAGATTTTTTTAATAGTCCATTTCGGAGATATGATTTTTTCTCTGTTTTTTCGTTTTTTTTTCAATAACTCCAGTTGTATTCATCCGATTTTGATTTATGATACGTCAAAATTTAGATTTTCTGCCATGTATAAGAATACTATGAGTAATTTTTTTTTCCAAGCCGTAGGTGCTCATAATACCGAATTTTCAAAAAAAAAGTTGAAAAACCTGAATTGACAAAATTATGTCACGTTTTATTTTTCTCGTATTTTTTTCAGTAACTCTTGTAATCAAAATAAATATTTTGAGCCGTCATACAAGTTGGGTTTTGTTCTAATTTTTTTTTCAATTTTTTCTTCTCAAAATTCCACGAATTTCGTCAACATACTCCAAAATGGCGTTGATTGACTTGAATTATAAACAGTATGAAATGAATTTAAATGTATTCTCATATGTTACATATTTTTTTAATCCATAAGGGAAGTCGTTTTGGGGTGTTTTGACCAAATTCGTGGAATTTTGAGGAGAAACAGTAAAAAATAAAATAGATCTCGGACGAAACCCAAGTTGATGACGGCTCAAAATACATGTTTTGATTATAAGAGTTACTGAAAAAAAGATGAGAAAAATAAAAAGTGATATGTGACGTTTGGGATTTTAGTACACTATTAGTTGTATCTTAAAATCCACGGGTCGTCAGTTGACCCTTTCGCCTAGCTAGCGATACCGGTGAGCTTACGGATCGTCAGCTCACGGGGAAACTAATCGGGAAGGGAGATTTAGGAATGGTTCTCCTCCCAAATAACCAGTAACACTCCAAGTTATCCAATCATGAGAATATAATTAACTAATAGGAAGGTTACACGACAAAATGGGTTAAATGGGTACGGCGTACGCGGATCTAGATTTTTGGAGAAGGCCAACGTCTGGACATTTCGGCCTCCCACCGTACTCTGCCTTGGAGCAGAGTCGCAAGGCGGTTGCAAATCCAAAATGCTTGATAAGCACTCCCACGGTTTTACCGTCAAAGAGCTCAGGTTGACTCTTGTTACACCGTGTGACTGCTTATTCAGCATCGGACCCGCAAATACTTTTGTTATTAAAATATTGATTAAACAATTCCGACGTGTGGATGCTCCACACGTCACAGATATAATGTTGAAAATTCAAGTTATTCAATTTTTTTTTTTAATTTGGGCCGAGTAAATTCTATAGAATATATCTCAATAGAGGAAGTTGCATATAGGAAAATCGAGTTCTATTGACTTTTTCTCTAGAATATTTTCGATTCTACATTTCAATAGAATCGGCCAAAAACTAATAGAAAGTGCAATAGCAATCCAATAGAATTGTCTAGCCAATTCGTTCCGATTTTCTATTAAATTTTTTCATACGTGACTTCTTCGCCTTTAGAAGGAATATGATATCTTACCCCAAACTCACTTCTCACATAAATATTATCCTGCATATTCATTGATTGCATTTTAAATGTTTTCCAGACCCTTTAGCGTCCAAAAAATCGTTCACACGAATCTCATCCTCCTAGTCGTCGACACCCTTTGTCCCTGCGGCAGCAAACAACTGAGTATCGAACCCATCGAGGCACTAACTGACTCAAATGCCTGCACAGCAAGGAGGGAAAGTCTCTACCGCAGACGACCCCCAAAATGCATCAATTACCATCCCGAAGAGATGGAGATCAAATACTGTGGCAATGCCAGCCGACTCTGCATATCCTACAGTCTTATTATCGCTGTTATTTCAATCTACTTCACGTGACTCAATGCTTAAGAAGTACGGTTACAACGATGAAGAATAATTGAAATTTTTTTATTTACCTCCATTTAAACGCGAGGAAGTTGAGTCTAATGGAAGAAGAAAAAATTATTTGTTCAGTTAGTTTATTGACGAATGTCTGGAATGAGTTTGGATTTACAGTGAAATTATGTGGAAGAAGCTGCTGATTTTGAAGAAAAAGGCAAAAAATTATTTGATCGACTATCAAATTGATGAAAAAAGGGGAATTTTTTATTCGAAGAGGATAATTATAATATCGGGATTGATTCGCCGTCCGTTGAGTACGACGCATTACCCTCTTGATCCGTTCGTGGTAAAGAAGATGAATGATAAATAAATAAAATAAGTAATTAAATAAATGCATAAAACGGCTCAAACAATGTTTAGACAATACCGTTCGGCTGCAAGATATTTTGCTTGCGCAATAGTCGACAAAACAAATGTTTTTTATTCTTGTCTTTGGGTTTTATGAGGTTTAATAATATTTAATGAATAGTACAATTTTTTATAGGTTTTATTTATGGAGAATGATAGAGAGTGGCGACTATTTCGATGAGATTGAGGCAGTTATTCAATAACTGGGGGATTGCAACGGGCGTAGCTCGTTAATCCGCGCCTTAGTCCCCACGCAATATCCCTTTTTGGGAGCTGACGGAATTTATGGGGATATAACTATATATTGGTGATGAAGTAGTGAAACGAATTGAATTGACTCAACTTCGAAATTAGTTTTTGGTGGGTATAATTTTAAGGGTTATGGCTAAAATTTACTATCTCTCTTCGATTCAAAGGTATTAATCGAAAACTAATTTCAAGTACTTGAATCGCGATTTTTAATATCTCGAAATTGAAAGGAGAGAGCAAAATTTCTGTGAGAACCTTTTTCTGTGAAGGCAATTGAAGAGCTACAAAATGGGTCCCTACAAAATTTTTGCTCTTACCGCTTCACTTTCAGAAATTGAGTTCATCGAAATGATGGACTCATCTCATTTTATCACTGCATCACATATTTATAGACTTTAAATAAGCAATAAAGAATCGAATAACCCCATAACATTCGATCATTATAATTGTATTTGCGAAAATGGATATTGCGTATAGACTACCTCTGGGTTTCGAGAGATAAATCTGAAAAAAAATAAAAAAAATGTCAATCGAGAGAATTATCTTTTATTTTTAGTTGATAGTATAAAGATATATACATATAAATACGTACGCCGGCGTTTTTATTTGCTGTTAATTGTTGACGCACTCATGATTTATCAAGAGAAAGAAGAGAAGAATACTTAAATTAATTAAATTAAATGATTAAAAAAATAGAAAAAAGTGTTTGAAATGAGTTATTTTAAATTAAAACGTAAATTGAAAAAACATTAGGATCAATGGCATTGATTTGCAATGGTTAAATTCAATAGTAGTGGCCGAGCCATTTATTAAAAAACCCCAGTGAGCGAAATTCTTGCAATTATTTAAACTTGGATTGATGACGATTGATATATTTATATCCAAAGTTCTAAGGACTCTGGATATTTCATTAATCTAAAAGATGATGAAATAAAAAAATGGTTATATTGTTCAGAGATGACCCGAATGATCGTATTTATAATGTTACGAATGAGATAGCGTTGTTCTTAATGTATAAAAACAAACAAATTAAATACGTTTTTCCTTTCATTTTTTAGTTTGAATTAACAATTATTCTATTACAAGACCATTTTTTACTGTGTCTTCCACGAAACGGCCTTTCTTAAAGTGGATTTACGAAGATGCGTATTGGAGGAATGAAGAGAGAAAAACCACAAAATGGGGTAAATATTGTGGCAAAAGATTGAGAAAACTTGAATTAATAAAAAGTGGAAAACAAAACATACATGTTGAACTTCGAAAATACATATCGGCTATCACAGAAAAACTTCCAGGTGCGAAAGAGTGTAAAAACAAAAATAAAATGACAAAATAAAACATGTAACTTCATGAAACAAATCTACTATATGTTCCGGGAATCCCTACATTCTCAATAATTATAAGCGAAAAACTGTAGGCGATAATAATTATACAAATAACGATATAAACTTTTAATGAAAAACAAAAGAGCAGAAACTGAACAGAGTGAAGGAGGGGAAGAATCGATGAAGAAATAATGAAGACACATTTTCCTTGAGAAGACTTACCTTTTCGATGAAAGAAAAAAAAATAAAGATCAGTTAAACGTAAAATGTAATAAAAGTCACCGTGTATTTTCGTGACGTAACAAACTCACAAAAAATGATTAAAAAATACAGTTGATACATCTACAATAATTCATCAGTTTTCATTATCTCCATTGTAACAAATATATGCCGTGAAGGCGATGAAACATAAGAAAAAAGGAATGCATTTAAACAAAAATTAAAAAACATGAGAAATAACAAGCGCGCAAGTCACATTGATGTGTATTTTAGAATTTAAATAAAATACAGAAGAAAAACAAAAAAAAACGATAATTCGTGCTAACGAGAAGATATATATTATTCATATATCTGGTTTTTCTGTATGGAATAATATTTCAAGAGGGTGAAGAGACATTCGGAGGACAATAAGAAACATCAAACTGCATTCTCTGTCATTTTATGCAAACAATCGCTGAGGAACAAATGGTAAAAAGAACTAAAGAAATAATACAAAAAAAACTATTATTATAATACTATGGCTTTTTTGTGATTGTTATCTTTTACAGACTACCTGAGATGCATAAGAGTATTTTGCATAATAACGAAAAATCCAAAAAAAATCACAAAAAAATAAATGACTAAATAAATAAATAAACAATAATAACCGTAATGACAAATTCTTAAGGAACTAATGCAACTCAATAATTGTATACTAACATTGCGGCATTTGTACGAATGCGTTTAAAAAGCTGGGCCAAAGTAAAAAAAAAAACAAAAAATGATGAAAATGTAAAAAAAATGAAAAATTATGTTTTCCCATGTAATTTATTCCGAGTTTGGCTGTTGTTATCTTGAATATCGACTAACATGTTGTATAGAATAATTGAGGATAGGTGAATAAGCCGAGACTAAGAAGAACAGTTTATAAAGTGGGGTAATTTATTAAAAATCCATTAAAATTATTCCTCGTGAGGAAAACAAAACAAACAAAAATACATCGTGCTTATATTGTTGTATCAACTCTTATATTTCTGTATACATCGTATTACGGGAAGTTGATACTCCAAGGGAGATGAAAAAGAATAGTTTTGATGGGTATGCATAAGAGTATACCTCAAATAACCCAATATTCAAATTTTTTGGTGGAGGTTTTGCACACAGAGAATCTATTTCTCTAATATAAAAATATACATCATCGACAAGGTCATTTGAGGGATTTGCATAAAAAATACGATGAACATTCCTGATAATACGATATTTGGAAATCTATTCATTCGATCAACTTCATCGTTGAACTGGACACAGTTATTAATATGGTCGATCAAATCGACTATCGGAGGACAGTTCTGCGAAATTTTGAAAATTGTAACAACTGCAGCTCTTTGAATGAAATAAGTAGGGGAAAATGAAACAGTCAAAAAATGACTGTTTGACGCAATTCAAACAAAAAAAAAATTTTTTGTTAAATTTTTTTCTATCAAATTTTTTTATTATTGGGAGAACTGATGAGAATAATAATTTTGTATTCGTCTTATAATTTAATTGATTAGAGTAGACCGATTACACTTTTTTTTCTTCATTCGATTGAAATTCAGTATCACATTTTCCTTTTTCCCCCTCTGGGTCTTCCTCTGGACTTTGAATTTTGCTCTTTCATTTTCTTTCCAATTAATCTATTACCAAAATCTTCTCCCGTCAAAACTTCTCAATATTTTTTCATTATACTGAATAGAAAATTATTATTCTCATTAGTACTCTCAAGTATAATAAAAAGTTGATAAACAAAAATTGATAAAAGAAAATATTCACAAAAAAAAACTTTTTTTGCTTGAAACAGTCATTTTCGACTGTTTCAATTTGGCCCACACTCCACTAGGAAAAGATAGCCTAGGGATGTTCTATATAATTATATTGGCGGAACTTCTGTACACAGTGTGTCTGCAGAAATGATTTCTATAACTATTGGGACTTGGAAAATTTCCTAAATTACATATGAATGTTATTACTAAACGAGCAGAATTGAGGCTCATGAAATTGCAAAAGTTTCAGCTGCTATAGAAATTATTTCTATAGACACACGATGGGTTTGAATGGGCTATAGAGCATGTCTGTGCGATTTTTCCATACTTGAAAATTTGATCATTACAGAAACAGATTACTTGGATCAGTTGTTACTAATAGATGGACGAAAATATCGAGAAACTACCCGGTCACTCCACAGACGTCTCTCATATGATAGGTTTTGAGATATCACGTTTGAAGTATTTTTTTATGCAAATTCCTTACATAACAACACGGTGGTTTATGTATATTCTTCAAAAGGAAGAACATCAACTACTGAAGACTACGCATCTGTCCTAATACCTGCCTAAAAATTGCATATCGATATGGTTTTTCAGTTATAAACTTATGCACAGGCGCCCCTTAACAATGATTTATGCCCGAATCGTGTCATGGCCCAAAACTTATCCTTTAATTGAAGAAAAACTTTCCATTGAGACGAGAGATCAGTAATGATAGTATGAGATGCTATTACATCAGAGAAGAAGAGAAAAAACACTTGTATATTATTATTACCATTAATTAATACTATTTACTATTACAAGAAACTTGGGGTAATATTTTTTTGAGTCTTGACCAGCGATATTTCATATTTAATCCTCAACCTTCGATCACTCGCTCAATGAGGGCGACGCCACTTATTTTCGTTTTTTTATATTCTAGCGTATTTTTCGACGTCTGAAAATTCTAAAAAAAATTAGAATTCCTTGTTCAATCCTTTTGTTAAGCGCTGAGGTTGTCCTTTTCTTCTCAGGAAATTTGTTTAGCTAAAAAACAAAAAGGAATGTTGGGCGGACAGAAAAGCGGCGCCGCGCCGCCCGGTGCGAGTGAACCCTCCCTGTCGACCGTTCGAGCTACAATGTTGCTACATTCACTGCCACACTTGAAATGCGTGCATAGCGGTAAGAGCGAGAGTAGCAACAGCGCGCTCGGTTTAATCCAGCGGCGCTGGGCTAACCAGAGGGCTGATTACGATTCCTTTGGCGCCGCTCTTTGACATATATTTTTTGACACACATGCATGAAAAAGTCCACTCTTTTTCACTACTCTTCGTGTGTAACGTGGGTCTTTTTGGGTGTATTCTAGAGTAGTTAAAAAAATTCCACCTTTTTTAACTTGTGAAAAAAAGCTGTGTAAAAAAGTACGCTTTTTTTAATTTGTTAAAAAAAGGACACTTTTGTTAACGTTATTTTGAGAGCTCATAGCAGTGCCGCCATATCACATACCGGAGGTCAGCCTAGTCGTAAGGATTCTGACCAATCACGTGCCGTCTTTATTTTAACGACTGTTCTAACTAGAAACATCGGTCTACGGTTCAATGTGCATTAATGTTGGTGTATAATTCGTATCACAGCGTTCACAACGGTCACTCAGGCTGCATGCTTGGTTAGTGCAAAACAGTATATTTATCAATTTTTATTTAATTCAATGTCAGGAAACTTTTCAATTTTTAAAAATCAATTTCAGGAAACTTTTCTAGCCACTAACTTTAGGAAATGAAATTTTGTCTTTATGTGCAATTTTTCTGGTCTTAATTTTTTTTTTGGAAATTAATCAATTCTTTCATGATTAAAAAAAAACCTATGAAATCTTCATAGATACTTTATAGACTACAACTCAATTTTCCTCAGATGAAAAAAAAATTTCTCATATGAATAATTATGATTTTCAAATAAGTCCGGTTTTTTGATTCAAAGAAGTTTTTTTCTGGGTATATTTGATACATTCTTGGTTACATTTGAGGACTTTTTCATACAGCTTTTGTCAAAAAATAGTATACGTTACACATGCATGAAGTGGGGAAATAGGCTTATGTATGTTTTTTTTATCGAGAGTCGTGTAGGCTTATGCAAGCTCTCCACTCGCCCAAATCCCCCCACTTTATGTACTTGCAATGTAAGATACTGTCAAGAATTAGTAAGATACTATTCCCCCGAGAATACGGGAAAAATTAAGAAAAAATTCCCTCTCAATTAGTTTTTGGGATATAAGCATTTCAATCTTTGTTTTTCAAGATACGAATATTTCCATAAAGCTTCGTATAGATACTTGACATACCAATTCATGCACTCACATTCCCACATTTGAATTCAATGATTATATTTACAACATCAAAACAACAAAACTCAATTTTAATGGAAATTTTTTTGATTAAATTTTATTTTTTTCTGACAAAATTGCAACAACGATCGCAAAAATTCAGTTAACAAAATCTGCAACAAAAGAATTTTCAGTCAAAAATGCATTCAATCAAGGCAGTGTCACCCTTGTGACCCTCATGACCATGGGGACTTCTTTATTGTATATGACCCTTATATTTATTAATCTCTATTGAATTCGTTGCGTCATCATCTTTTGTCTTTACATTAACTTGTCTCATTCAACATTCTTCAGGAAAAAACTAATTCAAATGTCTTTGGTAGCTTTTTTGAACTCTTGAGAACAAAGTGGTTTTGTCAGGTTCAATTGGGCTTTTCTGGGGCTCCAAATAATAAAGTAGAGAATGCAATAAAGCTCAACAGATAATGGATTGTCTTTCTCATAATGGAGATGACTTGTGACTTTGGTTTTTTGCTACGTTTGGCCCTCGTGAAATTTATTCTTTTGGAGGTGTGAAAATGCCGTAAATCATACCACGTGATGTAATAGTGCATTATGTCACCAAGCGATGGAAGTATTTTCTGACGAATGTGGCTTTATAATCCGAGTCGAAGAGTCGAGAATTTCAATCACATGAGTCAGAAAATTATTTTATCGCCGTGTGACATACAATATTTTATGTCTCTGGGCTACGGAACCGCAATTTAACCGAGGGAAAAGATGTCAGAATTGCAGTTTTACGGTCCTAGGGACATAAAATAATATTTTATGCCCCAAGTACCCAGAATCGCCATCTAACCGAACAAAGTGAAGTTAACATTCGCGGTTTATCTGTCTTCGAGACATAATATATTATTTTTTATATTTATGCGTCCAATACTGTATCTTCGAGACATAATATATTATTTTTTATATTTATGCGTCCAATACTGTATCTTCGTCAGTCGAAATGAGATAAAACATTCTAGTAACCGCAAATTGGAAGCTTTTCGAAGTAATATCCAAAATGTAAAAAAAACCGTTGAAGTAATTTATGCAAACTGCGTGGGTAAAAAAAAGTGTAAGTTACCAACGTAATTTACACGGTAGGCGGAAAAAATAGACTAGGAAATAGCCCAAACACCCAAAACGTGCTAAAACCCACCCAACTTAAAAATTTCCCTTGGTCTACTTTTTCCGGAATTCAATTTACACACCCAACCCTGTCGCCGATACAGAACTGACCTAGGAATATGGACAATCTAGCCTGGTCCACGTCCATGGTGGAAATGGTCAAATGGGGGCTCACTGTCCTCCACCCATACTCCGTACAGTAGGTCCAGGGTTGGGCAAGTACATTACCTCAGGTAAATTACGTGGTTTCTGACTTGTCATAAACTAGGTAAATTACAACTGGGATTTTCAAGCTATTTGACATGTCGAAAACGCATTTGGCGCCGGGAGGGTCATTGACATGACCAAAACCGTGATTTTTTTTATATCGGAAGGGTCAAATGTCGCAAGAATCATCCTTCGCAAGGGTCATGCCGAGCGGTTGGCTGTAAAGCGAGGGTGAACATCACAACAGTCATATCTCGCGAGGATCAAACGTCATAACCATACTATAACTCATAATGACCAAACTAACGCTGGAGCCAAACAACAAAGTCAGGGTGGATAATTTCAAGGATCAAATAACCACAAAGGCCAAAGGCGACCACCTTCGAATTATTTCTTTTGATTTATCTTTCCCCTGCGGAAGAGGCAAGTCTAAAAATCACGAGGATCAAGAATGAGAGGCAAGCAAGCAGGACAATCACGAAGCATTATCCGAACTTCTTCTATTTGACCCTTACGCACAGAAAAATGTAAACGTAAATTACGTTATGATAAACGTAGTTTACACTTAACGTCAATATGATGTCTGGTCACCTTTTTCCGTCATGAAAATCGGAATTTAGGCTTTAAAAAAACGTATTCTATGGTCAAAATAAAAACGTAAATTACGCCTGAACAAGGCGTATTTTACATTTATTAAAACGTAATTTACATTTAGCAAAACGTAAATTATGCCTAAGCAAAGCGTTTTTTACGTCTATCAAAACGTAAATTACGTATATCAAAAATACGAAAAAACCATCGTCATTTACGACGATTTTGAGCGTAATTTACGATTGCGAAATTGTAAATTATGTTTATGAAAACGTAATTTATATTTATAATTGTTTACGACGATTATAAATCGTAATTTACGACTTTACAATCGTAAATTACGCTCATAATCGTCGCGAATTACGTTTATGTAATCGTAATTTACGGCGATTTTGAGCGTGATTTATGCTTCAACTTCAAGCGTAAAAGATGACTTTTTAAACGTAATTTACGTTTAGGTTTTTTTGTGTGTCCAATGGTCCTTCATGATTCTTTTTTTGGTATTCATGATTGTTGAACCCTTCTTGTCATTGCGCTGCCTACGTCCCTCGGTCGAGCATTCTGGTTGTTCCACTCTTCAGATTACCTTGCCTGTGTGATTTAACCCTTGCGACTTTTGACTCTTGGGAGGCATAATTCTTGCGAGGTATATTTCTTGCAACGTCTGGCCTTCTCGCGTCATGACCCTCGTGACCGTATCCTTGTGATCATCCGGCCTGCGTGTCTCTAACTTTTGAACGTCGTGATGTTTAAGTTGAACCTTCCTTATGAGTAGGTTTATGACACTTTTTGAAATTTATGACGCTCCAGAGGTACATTACCGGTATTCGACAATGTCACCATGAGTAGGACTGACGAAATTGTTCCACCAGAAAGTGTAGTACTCCCATTCCCCCACCACTCATTTCGGTGGAATAATTTCGCCAGTCCTAACGTGATCCCCCGCGTCGCACGTTCTTACTTCCTAACCTCAACTAATGTTTACACTTCTGACATAGGGGCGATATGAGCAACAGAGGGTTGATGTAATCTCCGGCGTAATTGAATAACTTTAATTGATTTGTTATAGTGGGTAGAAAAAAATTGCAATGGAGCGACGAGGTACGTCTCAATTTGTTCATATGCTTATATGTTCATGTACTGGCAAGGAGTTGATAAAAGTTCCCCTTTGATGATGAGAAATGTTGAGATATATGCATAAATATGTTCATCTTAACGAATTATTTATATATATCAAAAAATCATCAATTCATCAAACCAATGTTTATTTTGGCTTTAGAGATTTGTCAATATTTTGACCACATTATCAAAAATGAGAAGGATGTATCTGCTGGTATGGCGGCGATTCGAACCTTATTGAAGATTTTGGAGCTTTCTCAGTGTAAGTCATAATTATTTCATTTTTCAGTTCATATTTTGAGCTTAAAATCCAAATCAGGGGTAAAATATAATAGATAAATTTTTCTTTACATATTTTCCTAGACCTAGAGCATTGACTGGAACACTTGATTGACTTTCTATTGAACAATTCTGTAGTTTTTCTGTACGTGTTTTGTAATAGAAAATATAATTTCCAAAGAAAATATTTTATAATAAAGAAAATAATCGAATTTGATCTCTCTATACGACTTCTTAAAATTAAAATGTAGGAAAAATCTAAAAAGAATAGAAAAAAATGAATAAAAACTTTATGCCTAATACGAAAATTATCGCCCGTGTCAACTTTTTGTGATGAATAATTTATATTTTTGAATACCCTGAATCTACAGGATGGTCTAGTCAAACGAGCAACTTTTGTTTAAGACAACAATCGTAAGGAGAATATGATGGATTAATTTTTTACTTTCGTCAAAGTCAGGATTCACGTAAGGCATTATCAATGATGAATAATTTTTTTCGGGTATATAAAATTCATTTTGCCTCACTACGCTCGACGACTTAGGTAGCGTACGGGTATCCTATATACTTTAATTTTTTTTAAGAAATTTAAATTTATCTTTAGGGGCAGGGGGGGGGGGAAGTGGACCCCCATCTTCTTTTTTTTTTCATTTTTTTTATCAAAAAAATATTTTTCAATGTTGAGCGAAATAAAATGAAACTGCGAAGCAAAATAAACTTCGAAGACAAACGATTATTGCTAACTGTTCTACCAAATGATCTTGGAGGTCAACGGCCTTCAAGAACGTTTAGAGTTGAGGGTCAAATCAACTCAGAGTGTAAAGAATCCTTGGAAACGTATAGGGTTAAGGGTGAAAAGAGTTTTTCTGATTGCTATTTTTTTTAACCACACGTTGACGTTTGAGATCTCTTTGCTCTCTCCTACAATTTGAACCTTTTGATACTGTTGCTTCCCTATTCCGTATAATTTTTCTGATCATTTGCCTCCACTAATTATTTTGAACTTCCCATTAAATCCTTGTTATATTTCAGTGGTGAAGTGGTAAACTAGGATAAGTGTAATTTTTTTGACAATTTATTTATTGCTTGAATTGAAAGGTCTCTCAAACGCGGTCAAATTTTTTAATTTTCCTGAAAAAGTTCCATTTTTGCACTTATCCTAGTTTACCACTTCGTTACAGATTTATCCCTCTACTTTTCCATTTGAACCTTGTGACTGCCGGGCTCAGTCTGAGTCATTATTTGGACAGCGACAATTAAACTCCACCAAAAAATTCGACTCATAATTTGATGTCTCGCAAAACGAAAAAAATTGAAAAATATCGGGAGTCCATTTTACCCGCAATGAACCGATTATTTCTATTTTGATGACGCGTCGTGCGGATTTGGATGATAGTTTCTGGGAATAAGTCTACTCTTTTCAGAAGACAAAAATTGTTGCAGCACGTTTTTTTCCTTACGGAGTCTACTTTACCCCCCCCCCCCTTTCCCTATTCATAGATCGAATCAATAGAATTTGATTTTTTTATACAAATTATTCTATTGAGATATTTTTTTGAGGTGTTAACAATTACCATGATTAAAATAATTTTTTACATTTATCCATAGCTGAAACTGTTCAAGAATTACGATATCGCCTACAAGAGGCGATAGATGCAATGAGATCCATGGACTACCCAGTGACATCAATTGCCTCAGGAGCTGAACTTTTCCTTAGATTCATCACATTGGCTACTCTTGACACGCCGGTAATGACGCCAGAATTCTATCGACTCTTTTCCTGTCATTATATCTCGTAAGTTTGAGGAAATTAATTCTTAGAAATGATTTATTTTTACAGTCTTTTGCAGAATGTAAAGGAATTATGTTGCATCGGGGCAAAGTGTTCTATGAAAAATTGGTGGCATCTCGAGGAAAAGTCGCTAAAGTTGCTGCTAATTTTATAACCGATGGTTGTGTAAGTATAATGGGAAAATCTACAGAGAAATTCGATTACGGTGGGGTTCCTTTCCTCCAAAAATTGAAATGCAATGATCTTTTTAGTGTTGGAAATTGTTGACGTGACCTCGAGGAGATCACAATTCTTTCTATCACAAAGAAGAATTTTAATTTGTTACGAATAATTTTCAATTAATTAATTAAAATTCAGACAATACGTTTTACAACACATTCATATAATGTTAAAAAGTGATTGTTTACAAAGTTTGAAGCATTTTTTTTGTGGAAAAACTGTATTTTTTCATAAGAGTTGCAGTTGACTCCTAAAAATTATTGTGGGATTATCTCGTCAACAGCTTTCTCCTGTCATTTGCAATTCTATGGATGGATTCAAAATGTAAAAATTTCAAGTCTGAGTTTTTTTTCGAGTTTTTTTTGTATTCTTGGCATCGTACCATGTACTGTTGGAATCATCACATGACTAAAAGAGTCGTGAGAATTGATTTCCATATTTCCTTATTTTTTAATTTCTTTTTAGAAAATTTTGACACACTCGAAATCTCGAGTTGTTCTCCATGCAATGAAAGAAGCAGCTGCGAATCACAAAATATTCCAGGTCTACGTAACGTATTCGGCCCCAGATAACAGTGGGTAAGCACCCCATTCATAATTGACTCTCCCTAAAGTTCGATAACAACTTTTTCTTTTATAAATGATTTTTTCTCGTACAGACAAGAGATGTATGCAAACTTAACAGAGTTGGGAGTCTCCTGCATCCTAATTCTCGACTCTGCTGTGGGCTACGTCATGGAACAAGTGGATATGGTGATGGTGGGTGCAGAAGGTGTCGCTGAGAGTGGTGGAGTCATAAATAAAGTCAGTATGCAATGAATTCGCCCGCAGATTTCTGTAAAACAGTTTGAGTTGGCACTTTACAACTGGAAGATGTAATTAAGACATCCTCTCAGGAATGAGTGATTTGATCAGAAATGCATAAGAGATAGTCTTCGCAGAAAATTTCATATTTCACCAGTAACATCTGGTAAAATATTGGATGGATTTGACGTCTCTCTTGACATCATATCCTAAAATTCCCCACTCCTGAGATGAATGCATAATCGTATGATGAAACAGTGCAATTAAAATCAACTATTTAGTTATCTTTCAAAAGCTCATCTGAAGTTGAGATGTTTAGCGCAAACGGTTTTATTCCAATAACTCCAATAATTAATTGTTATTATTCAACAAGAAAAAATCTGGAAACGTATTCTGTTTCAGGTCGGAACGTACACTCTAGCAATGTGTGCTAAAGAAATCAAAAAGCCTTTCTATGTATTGACTGAGAGTTTCAAATTCTCCAGGATATACCCTCTCAATGAAATTGATCTTCCAGACGAGTTCAAAGTGAGTTCAAATGATTAATTGAAAAATTTTCTATAGATTAATTAGCATGATCTCAGGAAGTTTTCGTCAAAATTTGATCATCAAAACTGAGGCAAAATGTTAATCATTTTTGCTTCCGAAAAGAAGCACTGTAATCATCCAATTTTGACATTCTCTAATTTTGATTGGAAATGATGTAGAATGGTCTGAAACTCAAAAATATGAAGTTCGGCAACCATGTCTGTATGTGAGCATGTCCACCGTCACCTTACCAGTGACAAATTTTTACAAAATTGACTAATTAAGTGGCTAGAGTAATTCTAAAACATGTGAAATTTTGTTAGATTATAGGTCTTAATGAGCAATAACTCTGTACAAAATTTCAGCCCCATCGATCTAATAGTCTTTGAGAAAAAGGGATTCGTTTTTAAATCGTTTTCCGCAATATCTTCAAAACGAGAGGACCGATTTCGATTTTTTTGTTTTCAAAATATTCGTTTCGAAGCCTTCTATCTAAATCAGTCAAAACATATACATCCATTCATACAAAGTTTTCGAGATATTCCCATTTTTTTTGTTTTTTCATAAAAAAAACTTTGTAATTTAACTTGTGCAAAGTTGAGATATAAATTTGAAATTTGGGCAGAATCTCCCTTTTCTTTATTTACAATGATTTTATTATTTAAACTTTGCTGGTCTGAATTTGAATCTCGATATTGAATCGTTAGAAAACTTTTTAAAAATCTGAAAAAAATTAGAACGTTTACTTTTTGAGGAAGATTGATGAAATAATTTATAAATAGCAATTTTAAAAAATTACGAGCATTTTCTATACATAATTTATAAATAATCAATTTTTCAGTGTAAAAATCATTGTTCGGAATCGTAATAAATTTATACATATTCAGAATTTTCCCAGAAATCGATTTCATGCCTAAAAAGGGTTTCCGAAAGTTTAAACAATTACAATTATTTATTTATAAACAACGAATGTTTAAAAAAATCATAATTCCGTGCAATATGTAATTTTAATGACGCTCAATATTCATGATCTTCTTTAAATTTTTCTCACGCAATTGAATTGAAAAATTTGACGATTGAAAATGTTCGAATCTATAGTATGGTCTGTACAAACTGTAAAAGATACTTGGATATCCTTAAAGTATGCCTTCTACATGCCTTAGTTTCAAGAATTTTTGTAAAATGATGTACTTGTCCGTTCTATACTCAACTTTGAATCAATGAATTATGATGTATCATGTCGATTCACAATTATGTTTGAAATATTTCAGTACACAACAAGTACCCGAGAGAAAAACTTGCAAAACGAGCATCCACTGGTCGACTACACTCCGCCCCAATACATAAATCTCCTCTTCACCGACCTTGGGATCATGACACCATCAGCAGTGAGCGACGAGTTGATAAAACTTTATTTATAATAAAAGAAAAGAGGAAAATAAAAACATCTTAAAGAACGATTGGAATTAATTTTTCTATGCAGTAAAACAAGACTTTAATCATATTATATTCAGAACGAAATAAATCGTTACACTCGTTTTTATATTGAAATGCAAACATCTGTATGTAAGTAAATAACGTATTGCACAGCGCAGATTCAACAAAAAGGAGGAGATAAGCCGGAGATCAGCTTCCAAACAGCAGAACATAATTTTCGTAACATGAGAGATAATCAATAAATTCGTAATCTAGACAACGTTGATAAAATAAATCATCTGTATAAAAACTTAGTCGCAGAAAGTGATCTGACATAAATTGCTATTGCGAAAATAAAATAATATGCTCCAGAAATTTGACAATAATGACATCCTGAATGTTTTACAATGAGCGTCTTGAACAAATTAAACGGTTTAAATAAACAAACCTTCTCATGAATATATAATAATAAACGGCGTCATTAAATTAATAATTAACAATAAATACAAATTCTGTACAAATCGAATTGATGATTCGGGTCAATACTCGAGTGCACATTTCTAGAGTTACATCACAAATCTGTATCAAAAATATCGATGAGCAGAACCGCTCAGAAGCGTAATACAAGTACTAGTTATATTCGCCGATACTGAGAACACTGAAATCTCCATCAGACGTGCAAATACCTGACCTAATTCTAACGTTCGTCGAATGTTACAAACACTATAAGGAATTACAATCCTAGTTTTTTTACTTCTACCTACATGAATTTGGAATTCCAATGAGTCTTGATGTTCTAATTCCCTTGTCGCTAACGGGGACGCGAAAAGAATTACTGAGACGAGCAATCTTGTTGTTAATTTATTCAAACGTGCGACTGACACAGGGCATTAATTATGTTGTAAATTTGTTCGAAATGTGGCCTTTTGTCGGGCTCGTAATCCCAGCATCTTAGCATTAGTTTATAGACCTCGTCGGGCGTGTTGTCAGGCGCTGGCAATCGATATCCTATCAATTTGAAAATCATATGAATGTGATTGCGATGAATGTAACAATTATGTCAATCATACAATTATCTCGTCGATAGGTGATTTCATGTGAAAATGTCAAGAGACCTTTTTCGCCTGAAGTCACTAACTACCGCAATAGTTCCATGGTTAAATAAATGTGTCAACTTAAATTGTTTAACCACTTCACTAATGAATTATTAATGGAAACAATAATTACCAGCATCAATTTTTTCTCTAGCTTGTGAATTAGACATTCCACTGTAAGGATTTCCTCCTTTTGAGAATATCTCCCACATTAGAACTCCATAACTCCAAACATCACATAATGAAGTGTATTTGCCTGCACATACAAAAATGCATTAGTAAAGCCCTCACCGATTTTCAATCGATTAAATTTTCAGAATACAAAAATATCATGTACCAAAATTAAGAGCTTCAGGTGCAGTCCATTTGATAGGAATTTGCTTCATTCCATCTGAGACAATGTACTCCTCCTCTTCCCTAGACATTCCAAAATCTGAGATCTTGACAATCGATTCATTGCCAACGAGACAATTGCGGGCAGCTAAATCCCTATGAATGCAATACTTCGACTCTAAATATCTCATTCCGGCGGCTGCATCTTTGCACATACGAAACTGTTCCCTCTGGCCAATCGTCGAAGCATTCTTCCGCAAATACGTTAAGAGAGAGCCCCCAGCTACTAGTTCCATGACAATCATAATAGGCTGTTTTTGCACACAAATACCAATGAGTTTAACAATGTTTGGATGATCGTATTGCTTAAGTATTCGTCCCTCTTGCAAAAATTTTCTCTTCTGCTCATCAGGCAGCGTAACTTTACACGTTTTTACAGCTACTTCCGTCTGACACGAGCGTAATTTCGCTTTATAAACGTCTCCGAAATTCCCACGTCCTATTTTCTCCTGTAGAATAACATCGTCGTTATTCAACTCCCACCGCTCTCTCAGAATTGGAGTCTTTAATACTGCCCCAGATCGACTAGTGACTGGCAGGCCAGATTTCCACTGGTGTCTTATTAATTCGGGAATTGAGGGAAATGTCGGACCCTCGAAACGATAATGACCCTCCGATGTTGTTTGAACAATAAAATGCTTGTGACCGTCCCAACATACAGATAGAACAATTTGACACTCGTCATTGCGGGTGGTTTTTCTCACTAAGAAGTCACCTTCGACCACCAACAATCGAACTACTTCTTCTCTGGGTAATACTCCATGGAACCATTCCTCCTCGATCAAACCTCCACTGCTCTTCTCATTGTTGGAGGAGTTATTCAATCCACTGGGCACCTACAATACAATAAGTAATGATGAGATGATGATACGGATGAGGGAATGATGAATGGTTACAATAGTCATGACGTGCGGATTAAAAAAACTCATGTTTGGGTGGTAAACATGGGTTGTGGGTAACGGTCTGTCATCAGTGCCGGTGAATTGCTACGTCTGCCAGCATTTTTATGCGTTAGAATAGCTATAGTACGAGTGGTAGTTGAGTTCATAAATAACAAATGAGTATTTCTGGAATTATCGCAGCGATGAAGGATTTTAGGGGAAATTATCAAGAGACTTTTTGTGGGGGATTTCATCAGCTTTCGAAAAGGTCTTTATGTTTTATCCTGCAATCATGCGTTTCTCAGATGATTGGCAGAAATTTACTGGCAAGAATTTCAGTAATGAAGTGGTAAAAAGGAAATATTTGGTCAGAGTCCTCATTTCGTGAGGCAAATAATAATTTTACTGAATTGACTATTCTCCGATTTTACTACCTCAGGACTGGTTTTATGACCAACGCGATACATTGAGCACAACACATCTCATTCATCAATGTCAAAACATTGAGGGTTCAACACTAGGAGAGAAAAACAAAACGTTAGTGGAAGGATATAACGGAAGGAAAATTATTGTTTAGAGAAAGAATAGAGACAGATAAATTCAAGTAAATTTCCACACGAACGCGTAAACGATAACATACTGTATGACGAGACGGAGTTACGCGAATTGGCTTTGGTGAAGATCCAGCACTGTGTGGCTTTGCAATATTATTCGTACCATTAACTGAAGGGAGATATTTGAGTGGTGATTTTTTAATCATGGTCATGAGGTGTTGATTTCGCCTCAGTGTAAATAACCCATTATCTGGACCTATATTCTTCTGAAATTTTTTCAATGTCAGAGAAGTCTATGAGAACGTAGAAATTATTATTTCATATGAGTGATGACGTTTGAATTCTGCAATGAAGTGGTAGCAATCAAGGGAACAATGATGGATAATTTCGAAACAAGTGGGAAATTACTTTCGTCATAACATGGCCAATATATTGTTGCTAATAAATCTGCAGTTTGCTTCCGAATGGAATTTCTATGCCGATGTATTTTCAATAATTCGTTGAATTCAACAGTGTCCCAACGTTAAAATTATTTGCCTTTTCCCGAATGTTGGTTTAAAAATAAATTTTTTCAATAACAGATGATGCAATCAATCCCATGATCGAACTTTGTTAAGATGGTATTGGGAAGTATATTTCCAATCACAATTGGATTCATTCAAACAAATATTTTTCAGTTATCGTCGAAAACCGATCGGTCCCATACACATAGACAGACATTTATAGATCCGGACATGGTCCAAAAATAGCATATTCGAACTCCTGAGGCCAAAATTAGTTATCCTGACACAAAACATAGGAAATTTCGGATTTGACGAATACAATGCTTCCATTCGGAAGTAAAAAATATCATAAGGGATTATTTCTTGAGGATGCGCTAACTACAAAAGAGTTTTTTGACTTCTTGTTCTAGCATCAATGGACAAAAACGTCAACTTCACGTAATTCAATTCATGACACATTTTTCCATAATACACGATTGCAGGAAAAAATTCAAAGAATTATTATTTTTAGAAAATTTTCTCAACTGCAATAAAAAAAATTTCGACATCAATCTGAAATCACTATTTCTCGAAATGTATGCAGGGTGTCCTGAAATGAAATGTCATCCTCGTGAGAGTAGTTCGGGGCGCTCATTTGGAGATGAAAACTCTAATAACATTTTTCGTGAGAAGACCCGGTAAACCGCGATTCTAACCTCGCTTCGCTCGGTTTGATCGCGGTTTACGGGCCTTCTGACGAAAAATTGCATTCATCACACGGTCCAAAAGTATTTTCTGACGAATGTGATTATAGGAGACTCGCCTTCGGCTCGGCCTACAAAGCCACATTCGTCAGAAAATACTTTTGGACCGTGTGATGAATGCAATTTTTCGTCAGAAGGCCCGTAAACCGCGATCAAACCGAGCGAAGCGAGGTTAGAATCGCGGTTTAGCGGGTCTTCTCACGAAAAGATCATTATGTATTTTGTTCCTATATTGCCAAAACGGGATGAGAAAAACTGTGACAAAATTCAACGTGACGTAGGAGCGATTTGGGTCCAACACGCGATGCGGCTGAAAATCGAAGTCCACGTAAAAAAATCCATATTTTCTCTCTCATTCGATATCAAGGGATGAGATTGATTGGAATCGATAGGACATACAATGCCTTGGCCCGACCGCATTGAATGGAGAAGACGGCATGATTTCTCTAACAGGAAAAAACATTTGATTGGCGGTCCCTTTTTATTTGATAACCCTCAAACAAAGAGTCGAAGAGAAAAATGTTAATGGAGTTTTCCTCTCCAAATGAGCCCCCCGAACTACCCTCGTGAAGATAACATTTCATTTTGGGACACCCTGTATAAAATTGATAAGAAACTCGAATTCGACCGTTTACATGCCCCAATTTCATTGCAGAATTGATTCAAGATTTTTCTCTTACTTTCGGTTGTGTTGAGGGTTCTGTGAAAGATCCCTCCATGGACAGATCACATCCAGACGGTAATTCCTCGCACCCCAATTCATTCAAAGCCCCACGAATCATTTCCGCCTGTCGTGATATTTTCTTCTCCTGGCAACGTAATCTCAGCTCTTCTCTCTCTCTAGAATAATCTAGTGGCGTCTTCTTGCTGACAATTAAGATACGCTCGTTAGTTTGCTCATAATTATGACTATGACAAAATTACTCAATGATTACTCTAGGAGATAGGAGGAAAACAGTTGGAAAGGTTGAGAGGAAAATAAAACGACATAATTCACCTGGGATCAGAGTTATTTTCGGTTGGCTGTATACTCTGGCGATTCTGCTGCGCTGCCTTCAAGGAACTCTCGAGCTCAGTCAAACGACCACGTAGCCAATCAATCGTTAGATTATCCACGGTCAATTTGTTTGGTAGTAGCTTGCCAGACGTATTGTCCACTAAATTCTCATCGAATGAGAGGCGAAGAGGTGACGCCGGTCGAGTCCTTAATATTGTTTCATCATCAGTATTTAAAATTGATGTTAAATGTATACGAAAAAAAATCACAGAATGATGTAGCGCATTTGCAAGAAAATTCTATTGAAATGCTATTGATTATTTTCCGACTCTGGGTTCTGGCTGATCACAGCTAAATATTCGAGTGATTGTGGTCGATTTGTTACAGATTGTTTTCGGATATTGGATCTGGAACTTTTATAGTAGCTGCTAGTTTGTTCGTGACCACAATCAAATATTTTTTCTGTACTGCTTCTCACGATTTCTTGTCTGGGAATTGGTATTACATACTTCTCAAACTCGAAAACTTGAAAATCACTACAGAAAAATATTGTTCCTGGGCTGTTGCGATGGGGTTTTTTTACTCGTGTGGTTGGCCAGTCCTCGCCTACGACTCGGAGGCCAACGCCACCCGAGTAAAAAACCCCATCGCAACAGGCCGGAAATAGTATATTTCGTAACGAGCTAAAAAACATTTTTTCACGAGTTACGAACAATATTTTTCATCACAATGTGAAGTTCACTTTTCGTCACAGCGTGATGAAAAATACTATTTCCTCGAATACTCCGCTCCGTTTGGCCGTGATTCCAGGTGGAAAATAATCCTCCAAATACCGTTTGACCTTTAAAATTAATCGAAATATTTTCCTCAATCCTGTGCTTTACAGTCCGGGGTTTTTAGCCTGTAAAACTTGACACCTTCATTCGTTAGGAATGAAGCTATCGGGAAATATTCCGATAATTTTGAAGGTACTATAACTGAAAACTCTATTAGTTTTTCACTGATTCTATTGGCAAATTCAGCAACTTAATTGCGCGCTTCACAGTTCAATAGAACTGTTCAATAGAATATATCAACAGTGAAGTGGTAAACGGAGATAAGTCGGCTTATCTCCCAGTTGAGTTTTTGAGGAATATTTCCGAATCTATGAGAGATAGCGAAATTTTTGTAATTATATTTGTTGTAGCACTCAATCGGCTCCACAAAAAAGGTTATAACCAAAATTTTGTTATCTCCCTTAGATTTCGAGATATTGATTGAAAACTGGTCAATAGTCCAAATTGACTTATCTCCTGCTACCACTTCGCTACTGATATATTATCCACAAAAACAATAGAATTTGATTTGTCTTTCCAGTTTACTCTATTGACATATATTCCGTCGAAATTCCTCTGTTAAATTTTCAAAGTCTGTTGATTTGATTTTTTTTTAGAAAGAAAGAAGAACTTGAGTGGACCAAACTTGAAAAATTTATGTTGAGAAGTTGTATAGAAAGATAAAGTTCTATCAATTGTTTCTATGAAATAGTTTTTATTGAGCATTTTCTATTAAGAAAAGACACAGAAAAACTGCAAAATTTTCAATTGAATAAACATTATTCCATACAAATTATGTCAGCTGCTGAAAACCCACATTGACGTTTTTTTCTACAGCCACTTGTATCCGAGAAAAGTGCACAATAATCAACAATTATATGCTTGTCATGATTGTTCACGCATCTCGGTATAATTGTTGCTATGAAGAAACAGCAGAAATCTTTTCATGGATAATTTGCTTTCACGAAGTTTTCTTGATATTTTTCTGACGAATCAATTGTTGTCTACGTGGATGTATGATGAATGAAAAAGAGTAATATTTGCAGCCTTCAGATTGACCATGTTTCTCAGAGAATTGAAGCACTGCATAGATCGGCATCAATCATTACTTTAGTAATATTATGAGAAGTTGCACCTTACAATTATTAAGTTTTTACTTATCTTCATTGGAATTTGAAAAATAATATAATAATTGGTAATTTAAATTTCTCAATTATTGGTTGATAAAATAATTTGGAATTTGAATATTTAAATTGATGGTTAAGGCCCGGGTGTACTATCTTTCGAACGTTATCTCGATTTTTTTTTTCATCTTTCGTCATCTGAAATTGTCAATTAAGTCCTGCATCATGCAGAAGTTTTGAAAAATTATGAATGAATAATCAAAAAAAGTAGAAAAAATTCTTAATTTTTTTAAAGTGCATTTTTAATTTATATTCAGAATAAGTTGAATAACAAGAAATTGAAAAATGTATCTGATTTACGGTGACAAATGGCGGCCTGTCACCCAATATCATGCAGGGGGAAGACTGATTTCGTAAATCTTTTCCCACACTGCACAGAGACATTTATTACGGAAAGGGCTCTTTGAAAAAAGTTGTAATATTTTGGAGAATTTTTTAATCACACTTTTATCACATAAAAATGGCAGATGACTACATACCACTGTTTTGAAAATTGAGATACCTAGCTGTCACTTCTCATGAGGAGTTAGTGTTTTGTTATCCACCACGGAAAATGACAGCTAATAGATAATTTGCCACAGCGAATCAGATATTTGTAATTTCCACTTTTTTTAACTCATTCTGAATCTCAATTAAAAACGCTCTTTTAAAAAGTTCAGAATTGTTTCTATTTTTTGTTATCATTCTATCATAATTTTTGGGAATTTCTACATGATGTACCACTCAATTGACAATTTTGGATTACGAAAGATAAAAAAAATCCAGATAACATTCGAAAGATAATACACCCGGGCCTTAATTTAATAATCAAAAAATTGGTGAGTAATATTAACAATTGACTTATTCAAAATTTAACTGTAATTAAAAAAGATGATTATGTCGATGATTGATGCCCTGCAAGGAATTCATTCAATCTTTATTTAGAGTTGAGATCAAGTTATTCATGATTTTCTGTCCCAGATTGAAAATTTCAATGAATTTACTACTTTCCAATTTTACAAACGGAAAAATAGGAAATTTCACTATAGGAACTGAACATCGCATTGTATGTAACATTCGATAGATGGAAAATTCTCTCCACTAGCCGCATCTCTTTATAATTTTGAAGTATTTTCATTATCATCTCGCTACTGGGATTGCGATTTCCATCCAGTTAACCCCAAATTGATTAATTCTCCAATAAAAAAATTGATGACGATTTCATGTAAAGTAATTAGGAGATTTTTCCATAATTTTTTAATCATTAGAATTATTAAACCGTCAACTTACCGATGTTTTCCAATAAAATCCTTGTACTCGTCGAGAGGATTAACAGAATCAGCAGCAGCTTTCATCTGTGCTTGAATCTCTATAAATTTCTCAGAAGCAAAGTGGGAGTATTTCACGGTGTCTTGAAGGATTTTTTTCCTAACAAAATCATTTAAATTTCATTTAAATTTCAGTTAAACCCCGAGAAACCTTTCACTTATTCATGATTTCATCGATATTTCTTCTGTGACTGACCTCTTTCATCACTTCATTAGCATGTTAAAAAAATACACACACATTAGAGTTATTGGCCAAAAACCTATCTGTAACTCTTACCAAGCAACGATGAACTCCTGATGAATAGACTGTTGCCTGCGAAGAAGACTCGGCAGGTAGCAATTCCTCAAATCTTGTTCACAATCTGTCACAGCACCAATGAGTAACACATACTCGTTATGAGTGAGATGTAATTTACGACAAGCCTTTTGATATTTCTCTCTCACGTCATCCAACTTTCTCCCTCCTCTCCCAGCTATATTCATATAAAGCATAAATTTCACTCAAATTTTTTAAGTCTATATTTTTGTTTCATATTTTCACAAAATCAAATTGATAGTCGAACTCTTACATTTCACGTAGTGCTCTTCAAACCGCGAACGTGCGAGTTTGTACATTTCTAGATTCTTTTGGTACTCTGTCTTCTTCCTGGCAACATCTTCACTCAACTGATGGCATAAAAATTTATGTTAGTTCATTTGAAAATCATTTTTGACTGAAATTACAGGAAATTGATGACTTTTTTGTGGAAAATGTTATGAATCCTGTCTCAAAATACAATCATAAAGAAAGATTTCTTGTCTTTCTTAATGGATGAATTATCTTCGTAACGAGAAATTCCCAAGAGACATTATTTGTATGGATAATCCACAAGTTAACTTAGATTGCACCCTTTCACCCTGATATCATTCTCCCCAATAATTTACCTGCTGAAACTGATTAGTGAGCCAGGTCTGCTCCTCCTGGTACAGTTTCCTGGCTCGTCTCCTCTCCGAATGTAGATTATTAATATGTTCAACAACAACGTTCTCCATAGAATCCGCCTGTTGCTTAATCAATTTGGCAGTCTGATCAATAGAGTCCATAATGTCTCTCCAGCTCTGCAAAAACAATTCGTGATTCTTCTTCAAACAGGAAGTTGTAAAAATTCCTGGAAGATGTTACGAACAAGGCAATGGAATAACTACCTGAGTGATCAGGCTGCCAACGAGGTCATCACAGCGTTCAAGTTTTTTACCCTGAATACTGAGTGATGATATTGTCGAGGCATACTCACGATCTGACTTGACTTTAGTTGTCAGACACCTTCTCATAGTCTCAAGGAGTTTAATTTCCGCGTCCTGCCTACCCAGCAGGGCCTCGTGCGATGCCTGCCCCTGGAGGCTTGTAGAAAAGCCCATTTTTTCACGTTGAAAATCACAATCACTCCACTCCAATTTTACACTCGTTATTTAAATCAAGAGAATGGGCACAATCCAGATTTAACTCATTCCTGAAAAGTACCTACAACCTGACGTGATCACTTTAAATAGAGGGAATTATAGTTCAGTGACAACATTCCTCTGGTTAATGCATTGCTTTACTGTTGATAATGAGAGGTTTCTTTGGGGTATTGGGGAGAATGAGGGGCGGTCGGGTGGGTTTTGGAAATGTTAAGGCCACTGGACAACACATCACTCAACAACTCCAGACGAAAATTCTTTTGATCTAACTTCAGGAAATACCGCCACAAGGTATGGTGGATGGAGAAGATGGGACGTGCACTCGGTGAAAGTAAGTGATTTATTCAGTGGGGGGAATACCTATAGTGTCTCCATCTTAGGGAGTGGATATAATGGAGAGGATAAGAAAGAGTCCTTATGTTTTTACTTATTAATTACAACTTTTAGCATAATCATTTTCTATTATATTGTAGGGGAGGGTGGGGTAAAACGGACACTTTAGACTTTTCTTTTAATATTCATAACTCGGAAACAAATTGACCAATTGAGCTCAGTTTGGACTCGTCACAAAGGGAAAGAATTGTTCTTTGTATTGAGAAATTCATTGAATTTTATCAACATTCAACCCTTCATTAACATTTAAAAAAAAACAAAAGTGTCCGTTTTTCCCCAACCTCCCCTAAGTGATTGTGATGGGTATTTTCTGTCTCATGGTGATATCGTTCAGAGATATTTGAGAATTATGGCAGTTGTCCTACTGTGGGTAACAGCAATCTCTACTTGATGGAAGGTACTGGAACGGCCGCGAAGAAATTGGCAAAATTAATACTTTGCCAGTGAGAAAAGTAATCATCACTTAGAAGTGGAGAAAACCATATAGCCATGAAAATTAATCCATATATAACAGTTATTCTTACATCTGAACAGGTTTTTTCATTGTTTTCGACGAAATTTTTGAAATGAGGTAGAGCTATTCGAGTTGTGAATTGAATTTTCGGAAATTCTGAGGGATTTTCCTTTAGTTTGGTTGTCATTATTGAAATATTCTGAAATTCTACAAATTAGAGCTGCAAGAGCTATTGGTACTACTTAGTAGATCGCTAATTAGCTTGTTAATGAGTTTCCATTTTTTTTTCTCATCGATTTTCAACATATGATGAAAATATGAAAAAACTACCAAAAGAATTAATATTCCAATCGCCAGTATGAACATTCAAATATTTCCTATTCCTCCAGGCCATTTCGCGGTTTTCATCAATTTTAAAAGTGAAAAATAAAATCAACTATAAATTTCCACTAATTTGCCGACGTTTCAAGTGGTACATCCACTCCTCATCTGCGTAATTTATTAAGTTTCCATATTCCTCATTATTTCCCTCCTATTTAAAGCAAAATATTCTGAAAAACATTTTTTGTTTTAGTATTGTGTTTGTCATGTTAAGTGGTATTGAGTTTAGAGAGATTTTTTTTTAAATGTAATGACATTGAAAATTTTTAAGAGAAGCAGTTTAATGAGAGGTTTTTATGTGCTCCGAGTTGATGTTAGGATGACCGCTAGATTCATTCATTTTTGTCATTCCTTAAATTTATTGTGGAATGTTGAAGTCAAAATGTTTTTCTTAAAATCCCGCTTTGCGGGAGAGAAATCTGACTTTGCACCCACCGTAGCGGAAAAGATATTGTTTTCGAATCAGCACACGAATGAAAAAATCGCATAGAAATTTTCTATACAGATTGCCTATAGAATCTCTATAGGATTTTCGTATAGGATATTCGGATATTTCTATATGGATATTTTTTATACAAATTATTTCGACACGATTTCTATAGGTTTGATCCTATACGACCTACGTATAGAAACATTTCGTATGAAGTTGCGACATGAAAACAAAAATTTATGTAAAAATTTATGTGTAGAAATAATTCGTATATAAAATATTCGTTTAGAAATATCCGAATATCATATACGGAAATCCTGTAGAATTTTTATACGCGATCCGTATAGAAAATTTCTATACGATTTTTTCATACGTGTAGGCGGATTTTTTTTGTAACACTGTTGATATCTAATCTTAACGGAATCAGTGTTTCTATATTTTTATATAGAACTGGTACAGATTCATTCGGAAGCTTACTACCAGTGGAATTGGCAAAAATGAAAAAAAGCAAAACAGTTATAACACATAAAGAAACAGTCAGATGGCTTCCACCAAAAAGACTCAAACCCCTGCTTGTTTAAAATCACTTACCTGGTCCAATCTAAAATTTTTTATTTCGCATAACTTTCGAAGCATTTTTTTAATAGCATTTCAAGGCATACTTGGAACGCTTCTACATCATATTCAATTTTCATCGGAATAAAAAAAAACCTGATTGAAAGAGCATGGAACACCCCCGCTTCATTATTATCGCAGACGTCCCTTCTTCTCTTTCCTCTCCAATGGCCTTGAAAAGTAAGATAGGAGCCTGATGCCCCTCTCCTGAGACCTCTTTGATAAATCACAATTGGTGGAACAATTACAACCAATCACAGTCTTCGAAAATCTTCCTTATTTTGATTCATCAACATAACGATCATTTTATTAGGTTAACTTAATCTTGAGCTTTTTTTTCATTGAGTGGGTTATCTTATTTAAAATTTACATATTCACGCGCCCGTTTCCGATATTGAAGAGTGAACCTTACAGTTTTTAATACGATATATGTTATGTCTGGAAGAGCTGCATAACTTCACAAAAGAGTAGTATATACGATAGTATGTACGAGTTCCAACAAGGAAAAAATGCAACTGTAGCCCACGAATCGATTTGTTCTACTCTCGGAAAGGATATTGTGTCTTATAATACGTGTAAATATTAGTATAGAGGCTTTAAAGAAAGTGATTTCGATCTCAGTGATCGGGAGCGTCCTGGACAGCCTCTGAAATTTGAAGATGCTGAATTGCAAGAATTACTCGACAAAGACTCAACAAACCCAAAAAGCGTTTGCAGCTCAGCTAGGAGTTACTCAAGCAGCAGTCTCTAAACGATTACACGCAATGGGAAAAATACAAAAGGTAGGAAGATGGGTTTTCCACACGAACTGACTGAATCCACCCTCGGTCAACCCATCAGCACTTGTCTTTCGCTGCTTGCCAAGTGTCAAAAAAAAAAAATGTCAAAAATTGTGACGGGAGATGAAAAATATATTTTTTTTTGCTAATCCCAAATGGAAAAAGTCATGGGTGGATCCCGGACAACCATCGGCATCCACTCCCCAACAAAAAATTCACATGAAGAAGGTTCTCCTCTGGATCTGGTGGGATATGAAGGGTATAATCTGTTACGAACTTTTGGAAACGGGTCAGACAGATACTGCAGAACGCTACAGTTGACAATTGAACAAATTGAGCGAGTTACTTGATGAGCAGAGGCCATTTACTGGGCAAGGGAGCCGGAAAGTCATGTTGCTCCATGATAACGCTCGACCTCGTGTTGCTCGCGCGACTCAGAAAACAATTTTAAGCTTGGGCTGGGAGGTTGTCCCGCACGCGGCTTATTCACCGGACTTGGCCCCTTCCGATTACCATCTATTCCAGTCCATGCCTTGGAGGAAAGCCGCTTCCAAACTCTGGACAATATACGAAAATTCGTCGATGACTTCATCGCCTCAAAGCCTGCAAGTTTTTTTCGCGATGGCATTCGTATGTTGCCCGATGGATGGCGCAAGGTCATCAAAAGCGATGGACGATATTTCGATGATTGATCTAGTATTTATATATTTTATAATATAAATTTTTTTTTGACAAAAAAGACCAAAATTAAGTTATACACCTAATAATTCGCACTAAATCGGCCTCAACCTTATAGTTATAATGAAGAAGTCACAAAATGATAATAAACCTTGAGTCGTGAATTTGTGCACGAAAATAAAAGTTTATCTGTTTTCCTTATTCCATTCTTTGGCGTTCCAGACTTAAAATAAGATAAAAAAACATAAAATACATAAAATTGTAAAAATTTATAGTTCGTATAATAAAAAATTGTTGAATTTTCCGTAGTGGTTCAACTGGAAGTAAACACAGAGGATTCAATTTACCCCGCAATAAATTGCAATTTATCTCTAACAATGAATTAAAATACCCCAGTGGAATGGTGTTAGTGAAAGATCCAGACATTGTCGAGGAGTTTCAGTCCTGTCTAAAGTGGCTAAAAGACAGCGATCCCTGGGAAATCGGTGAATTGACAGCAATAGCAAAGAAACTCGTCAACCACTATGCAGACGAGCTTGTCATAGGTCTTGAACGCCATATCACTAAAGTACCACCAAAGTCGAAACTTCCAGGACTCTATTTGCTCGATTCAATGATCAAGAACGCAAGTTCAGTGTACATAAATCTGTTTGCGGAGCAATTGGTGAATACTTTTAGCTCCGTATTCATGGCTGTCGACAGTAAGACGAGAGCATTGATGTTTAATCTCCGCAAGACCTGGACTGGGACTTTTTCGGCGGCAGTTTTGTATGATTTGGACTGTAAAATCAAAAGTATTGATAGTAAGTGGCCGATTATCATCGCGACACCACCATTCTCAGACACCGCACATTCTTCAGTAGATTCACCTTCCTATAAGTATCCAGAAACTTCACATGTTGGTGACTCGGTAGGAAATCCACCTATCAGTGACGTGGCTGCACGTCCACTCATTGATGATACTGCGGCAACAGCAGTCGGTGAAATTTCTTCAGTTTCTCAAGCAAATGATTCGATGAAAGGCAAGGGTCAAGCAGAAGTGAATTTTTTCGATGCACCTACCATGGGATTTGATATGTTTTCACTTGAACCAGCAGGATTTTCAGGAGGGCAAAGAATCGAAGCCACTGCAGAACCAGTGCAGCCAACTGTTGCTGAGAAAACATCTCAAGAAAATGCTAATGATGAATTTCTTTCCGATTTATCGTTCTTGAATTTTCCTGAGGACGATTCCTGTTCCATGTCTGCGGATTAGACGAAAAGATCAGATTTCTTCGAGGAGGAGGATCCAAAGGAGTAAGAGTTGACCTCAGAGCTGGCAGTGATTGCAGCACTTCTGAGAACTTTTGTGAGGGTAATTTAGGCGTCGGTGATGCATGAATTAAAATAAGTGAGTTTGAAGATTATTGCGTGAATATATTTGAGAATGAGAAAAAGAGGGAAAAGTAGAGATATCGTTTTTAGAGACAATTGTACAAACTACAAAAAGGTATTTATATCTCGAATTATTTACAGAATAATGTTAAGTGGGTCTTCGCAGTTGTCAAACTTCATAAACTCAACATTATAGAATGCAGCAGTGAAATGTA